CATCAAAAACAACATTTCTAAAACACAAAAACCACAGTAACAGCATTTATTTTAAACCACTTGTTGCCGTGACACAGGTCTCAGGTTGTGTCATGCAGCTACAATCTGAAACAGTCTTCCTGGAAATTAGAGACATGCTTCTACTCTGAAAATGTTCAAATCCAGGTTAATCCTAATCCACTTCTGTTTATGTGCAAATGAATGAAGAACTGTATCTTCACTCTTTTTTTTTAATATTCTGTGATTATTTATTATTTATTTTAATGCCCTGTGTGTTTGTTGCCTTTTATACAAACTGTAAGAACCACACAAATATCGCATTATAGCATTTCTTTAAAATCAATTCTTGCCATGACACAAGTTTCCAGAAAAGCAATAATACTCACACATGGAAATAAACATGGAACCTGCGCGCTCCCGGGTTCCTACAATCTGCTGTGGTTTATTGTGCGCTCACACGTGGGTTTGGCCGGTGGCTGCCCGTTAACGGTGGCAGCGAACGGGAAATGATACACGACAGGAAGCGCGCACGGAAAATCATCTCTCCCCGCTCCAACACGCACGCACAGGCAGACGCAGACCAGTGCGCGCTCCATCCATCTGAGCAGCCAGCCTCTCCCCCCACAGCCCCCGTACCCCTCCCGGTCTCCTCCATCTGCACATTACTCCGTCACGCATATCTTGAGTTCACTTCGACCTGTGACAGCCGCCAGCGAGGGTATATCGATTCATTTTTCTCGCGTCGCGGGGAATTTAAATGGCAAAATTCGAGTGATAAATAATGTTCTGTCACGTGTGCGCGACTGAAGCTGGGGTCCTGGAATAAGTCATTTTGAGTAACTGTGCACGGCAATTTCTTTTGACTGTTTTCAAACGAGGCGACAGATGTATATAATCACATTTGTAACATACTTGTGCATACATTGTGCTATTTGATCTTTTATATCTATTATGCTAAAGTTATAGATTTTATTTCATTTTAGTTATTCATCTTTCTCCTCATTCCTACTGGTCTGTGACTGGTGATGCAACCCTGAAATTTCCCCACTTTGGGACTAATAAAGAATCTCTCTATGAGGCTTCAAACTCAATATTAGTCAACATGTTATTATGGGGGAGAGAGAAAAAACTTGTCCGTTGTTCATCGCCTTTGCATATGGTGCGATCCTCTATTCATATCTCGTCATTTGTCAAACTAAAACAGTAAAAAATGTCAATATGGGATTACCTAATGAGCGGTGACGATGTGCAAAACGTTGCAAAAGGCTGTTGTTTTAATTCCCATGTGGATGCGTCTACGCTGAGCAAAACGCGTGTGTGTTTTCTGCAACTAAACCATGTTAAATGTCATTCTCCCCATCACTGATGACAAGATACACGGACAAAAGTTGCAGCGTGTTCATAATTTCTGCAAAAAAAAAAATATTTGAAAAAGGGTTTGACAGCTTAGAATAACTTGTTACTCACCTCGCCCGTAGATGAGGGGAGCAGGTGTTCGGAAGCTGATCCAAAGTGATATCAATACGTCAGGCTTCTCCCGGGACGTTTGACAAATGCCGTAAAAGAGGAGGAACAAGTGGTCTCAGTCTGAAAGCAAGTGCAAGCCTGGGGTCCGCAGCAGTCCCGCTCTTGTCAGCTCTGTGGCGGCGTGTGTGTGCGAGAGAGAGGAGACAGACGCACACGGACTGAGCGCCTTCTCTCTGCAGCCTGCTCCAATCACCGGCTGCTGTCATGGCTTGGCTCAGTCCCAGCCCCGCGGATACGGCTGTCAGGAGGTGATGTTAAAGCTGGGATACCTAATTTCATTGTTTCATAATAATAAAAATAAAAAGTCTATTTGCCCAAAAAGAAAGTATGTGTTTTGTTGTTTTGTAATTGGAGACGCAGGAGGATGTAAAGACAGTGATGATCTAGGACATTTTTGGACACTGGTCATCCCTCTCCTTATGGACCAATGTCTTCTATGTGTTTGCATAATTGTATTTCCTGTGTTCGAACTGTTTTTTCTCTGATCTGTTGAGGTATCGACAACTTTGTAAACTCCATGAGACGACTGCTGTTGTGATGTAGGGCGACACAGAAATAAATGTAATTAAAAGTAACATCTTATCATGAGCAGGGCAGACCAGAACAGGCCGGCTTCATAGTTTTGACAGTTTGCATACCTCTAAGAGCCTCGTGAGTATTCAACGTTGAGAGAGCGGATTGGCTTGGTGAGGGTGGTCTTCTTTTCTACCTGGAAAAGCTGATCTAAAGATGTGACAAGAGGCCAAACATAATGGACATGGAGTACCGTCTATAATCTATAAAATGTTCAATTAATAAGGCTTACTTCCTGAAATTATACACGTTTGTCCCAACAGAAAGTCTTTGTCAAAGAAAAACAAAAAGCATTTTTCTTACAAGAACTCATGAGGTTGGTTGAAAAACTATATGGATGGACTGTGCCAAATGACCCAATGAAGCTCAATAGGGAAGTGCTCATGGATGAAGTATTGCTCCAACTTGCTCGGGCTCTGATTAACTTAAATTGAAGAGTAATGAATTTAGCTTGATCTCACACTCACCATTTCGGGCTTGAAAAATTACATAGTGTATCACCCTCTTTGGTCCTGGTGTTTATATGTTGATAATATCTTTATTATCAAAATATGAGCCATATAAGGTTGACCAAACAGATGTCTTTGACAGGGGAGACTAACCTGCTCAGCAACCGTTTTGGAAACATGTCTGACCTTGTTACAGCGTGAAACTAATGCTGCGGAAGAAATGCTCATGTCAGAATATTGTCTCCAGCTAGCTTATGTTCAAATCATTAAAGCTAACACTAGGTGACATCAGCAGTCACTAGTCCTGTCTATGGTTTGAAGTCATGTAACTATATGGCCTTAGTTAGGGGTCTAGGTATTCTGTTCAAGTTTGAGAAACCTGCCTTTTGGACATTTACTGGAGTGGTTTACATTTGAGAAATGCTGAGAAGTGTAAAGTCGTGGATGACAGGACATGGACATGAGGAGTGTAGGAGGAGAGCCTCTTCACTTGGAAGTGCAAACGTTATGAATCAATGATTGACGTTTTGGATCAAAGTGACGCTGACAGGACATTACTCATGTGTGCCTGTCAAGGGTCTCAGCCTGTTTACGTTTTAGGGGCTCCTCAGGAGAATTCATATTTCATAAGAAGCTATCCAGACTTATTCATAATTCACCAAGGTCTGACTGAGTCGGCTGGAGGGCGGGGTTTAGAGGGTGGTCACCCGGACAGGACAGGACCCCTGGGGAGGGGCACCACTACACTGTGACAAAAACACAAGCAGAGATGATGGGCTTGTTGCCAGGCAGAGACTGGCAGTAGCACCAGAGCATGGAGCGGCAGACCTTAGTAAGCATGAAGCATGACCGATGTGCACAACTCACTATGAAAAACACATCACAGATGAATACAATTACATACTCGCATTTATTTTGACAAATGAACACTGTAGACAAACCAGAACAGAAACAGTGCAGTCGCAAAGGCTCTCTGAACTAAACAAATGCAGAAATCTGCCACAACAATGAAGCTTGTAATATCAAACAGAACACCACACCAACTCAGTGCACATGCAGAACTCCAGTGTCAAGGAACACAAACAAGACAAATAAAAGAAAATAAAGTATGAATAATAAACAGAAAAATGCCCAAACCAATATAGAGAAGTGCTGCTTTCCCCAAATCTCACCAAAACTGACTTAAAACCCTCAATCTGATGTTGTACAGTTACAAACATGTGACCTAATTGTTCAAAAATGGAGTTAAAATTGTTCAACATGTCCCAGTTAATTGAGCTTTGGAGATTTGATGTCGTGATTGTGCTCGAAGTACTAGAAACGACCACAGAACGGTTGTGTGGAAGTGTAACTAGGGCACTCAAGAACATTTGAATGGAAATGTGGAACGGAACACTTTTAAGATTATGATAAAGGTGCTGAAAGAGTACTGCGTGTACCGGAGCCGTGACGATTCCCTCGTGACACGTTAAAAAGCCCTGTCTTTGGCATCAGCGCTTATTACATAGTACTCTGATCTACAAAGAGCACCTTGGATCCACAATAAAAGAGCCATACCCTGACAAACATTTAAAACTCAAAATAAATTATTAAAATAAAAGGTATAAATACGACCAAGGTGTAGGATTAAAAGTTCTCTTGGGGGTAATGAGTAAATGGTAGACAAAAGAGCAGGTGGTCGTGGCATGGTGAGGCTGCTGTCTCTATGATCCGAGTGGGTTAAAAACAGAGAGGCTGTCGTAAGGCATGTTCGGGTGAAAATTGAATTTGTGGTGTGAAAGAGAAAGGACAGCGTGAGCGTTTGGATGCTTCCAGTTCCATAAGATCCGTGTCACTTCTCTAGTTTACCCCTTAGTTGCCCTAAAGTGAAAAAAAGACAAAGAAAATCAACATCGACTGACCTGAAATCTATCATCAGTATCTACTACCTGCATCTTACACTCACTGAATATGGAAATAAACAAGCTCATGTTAAAAACACTGCATATTCTTGGGGCTTTCTTTCCACATCATAAGAGCAAGTGTAAAGTTCCCGACCTGATCTCACACGTTGTGCATCCGTGCAAACATTTGAACTAATGTCAGAATGTGACTGTGTACATGTTATCTGCATGAGGGTCTGGGACATCCAACTATATATTACTGCACTAGAATATATAGTATTTTATCATTGCTTATTTTATTATGCTAAAGATAGAGACTTCATACATACTTCTTAATACGCTCAAGGGATTTTATACTTTAACTTTACCATAACAAAGAAGCAATGAAGAGAGATTGTATTGTATTTTAGTATAGTTATTGTTCACTTATCTTGTGCCGTGTGCTGCTCATTCCTACCGTTCTTTAACTGGTGATGCAACACTGACATTTCCCCCACTGTGGGACGAATAAAGGATCTTTTCATCTTAATGACATTAACATTTTTACCTGAAGAGTTTAAGTGCAAGTTCACAAAACGGTCAGCATGGTCTGAACCCCACAGTCCACAAAGTTCTGCAAAACAAGCACAAATGTGATGATTTATTTGTAAAGTTTCTGAAGCTGTAACGGTACCTCTAATCTCTGAACAACTAGAGTACAACTAATGTCCAAACATATACTTCATGTTCCTACAACTGTTACTGCATACAAGTTTGTGCACCAAAAACATTGATAATTGATTGTTTTGTGGCTATTGAACCATCCCCTGCCTCAGGCCAGTACACAATTATCTTGAGTGATTTTCCTTTGATTGATAGAAGTAGCCGTCAGAGAGGAAAAGTTTGGAAAGCTCGGGAAGGACCTCTATTCAAGGGAAACACCACCCCCTAGTGGATGTCTCATGTAAAACATTCATTCGGTGCTCCATGTTCAAGTGATAAATTAAAGTGGTACCGATATACCTGTGCAACTATAACATCTCACCTTCTTTAATGGCAGTGAAAATGTAAAACCATGCCTTTCTCACAAACCTCAAATATGTCATTATGATGTTATGGAACCACATTTACTGAATAAGTTTTCACATTGTTTTTACGTGGATAAAAAAAGACTTTTTGCCACTATGCACATCAGGCTTAGTACTAAAAAAATCTGCAAATGTCAAGATCAGCGAAGAGTCAGAGTGAAGGCAAGCGATTTCTATGTACTAAGATTAGATTTTCTCATTGAAAAAGGCGAATCATGCTGGTCATTATAATTCTAACAGTAAAATTATTGTCTGACAATTTTTAAACATTTTCCATGTTCCATATGTTAATCTTCAATGAGCACAATGAATATGGGGTCTCCAACCTTTTTCAATCAGAGAGCTACTTTTACACAAACAAACAGGCAGAGCTACTCCTTTGTGCAGTCGGAATAAAAATAATAAAAATCACGTCCAAGCTCAGAGAACACATAAAATACACCATAATACTGTATATCCCTATATTTATACTTATACTAGATATGTAATGGGTCAAAATGTATTCGTTGAAGTGCATTTGTTTAATTCCTTTGGCGAGCTACCTGTAAGGGGCTGGCGAGCTACAGGTTGGAGACCCCTGGGCTAATCCATATTCAGAAGTGTCTTGCATAAGGACAGAACCAGTTTGGCACTTTACAGCCGCCACACTGTGGCACCTGGTGTTCCCATAGACTGTATATATTAACGGACAAAGTCACGCCTACTGTATCTCCGCCGTTCTAACTAATGGGCCAAAAATGGTGCTCTACTGGAGCTATCCAAAATGGCCGCAAGTGGTCCCGCCCACAAGAAAATTGTGAAAAAACGCATCTGCGCATGCGTCAGTCGGTACAGCTCCATTCATTTGAACGAGAGACTTCAAAAATTCACAGCGAGTAAACTAGAGTGGACCAAAAAAATGCACCCCCCTCAGCATTGACACACATGTGGAACGGAGCTTTGGGCCAAGAGCCAACTTTTGGACCATCCTGTAAAGATGTTCGAGAGGTCTGCCAAAGCTATATGTTAGCATTGGCTAATTCTTCTGGGTCCACCCCCATCGGCCCGGGGTGGTATTGCAAGCATGTCAGCGGACATCATTTTGGCCACTTTTGAGCCAGGACCCGCCCCCACTGGGTGTTCCCAGAGGTCTCCCATCACAGTACTAACCAAGCCCTTCCCTGCTTAACTTCAGATGTCTGACAGGTTCTGGCTTTTGCATGAAGGTATGGCTACTGTACTTGTGATTCACATTCTAAAATGCATGTAGTGGTGAAGAGGGTCACCTGGTTGAGGTGTCGGGTCCTCTGGTCTGCGGTCCAGTGAGGGGGAGAGTACTGCAGTGTGGAAGAGCAGTGGTCAGGCACAGACCTCATCATGTGTCAGTGACTGTGCAGTACCTGGTATGTGTACGGACTCTGGGGGTAGTTCACGGGCATCACGACTCCTCCGAAACCAGAGTAGTACGGCTGTGACCACACACACAGAAATGAATGCCACAAACCTTCGCCAGAGCACACAAGCAGCGTGATGACAAGCCAGACACATATACCATCTAAAAATCACAATCGAGGAAACTTTGAGGCATCATTTCAGAAAGTGAATGAAATTTGTATAAAAATTAAAGAAATCACCACATGTAATGGATATAAATGATAAAACCTTGAACAGAAATGTTTTATTATTTTAAATCCTAATCTTTGTTTGTGTGTCGATGCCTGATGTCCGTTTTGTTTTAACAGAACAATCAGACGTGTGAGACCAGGGAAGGATCTGGGGTCGAAGGGGAAAAGTAACTCAAAGACACTTAAAGAGAATGGACACGGGACAGTTGTGGACTGTGCTATAAAAGTTAAATGTGTGATCCCTGTCAGACCTCAGAGGTTTGAGTTACTTTGACATTTCCATCTTCTGTTCACTAATGTCACCATGTTTGTGATTCTCTACATGATTAACCCCACACAGATCACAGACACTAAGAGCTGGATGAACAGAAGTACCTGACTGTATGGATTGCCTCCACTCATCATGGACTGAGGGCCCCCGCCCATGGGTGCGCAGCAGGAGCAGTAAATGTACTGTGTGGGATTCATCCATGGAGCTGGGCCAAACAGGCGAGGAGACATGGACCCTGGGGAGAGAGCAGGGCGGGGCTTTAGGGGCATGTGTGTGTGGAGGTGGAGGAGCCAGGACGGAAACTCACGCGCACTCCTTTCTTTCATGATGGCTGGGCCCAACTTAAGCTGACGGCCCTGAAAACTGATCTGTTTCTGTGGTCGAGAGAGAGAGCACACTATTGGTAGCCATCATGAATCAGGATGTTTGACAAATTCACTTACGTTGACGATTTCCTGAATGTCCACTTCGTCGCTGAAGTAGACAAAGCCATACCTGCAGCACAGTAAAGCAGGGCTGTAATGCTAATAATCAGTTGGTTGGTTGATAATTCATTTGATTAATAAAGCATTTTCTAGATCCCAAAAGGTCAGTGAAAATCAGTTTCTGAACACATTTGACCAAAACAAAGCCAATGTGATGACCCTGGAACATATTAGAGGCGAGTTGTTTTTGTTGAACACAAATTCATTTAATTTGAAATGATCATGAAAACTCTTTTGGGCACGTTTAACTCTCTAGGCGCCACGGTCGACTTAAGTTGACATGATGCGTTACTGTTTTTTAACAGCCTATTGTTTCAAACTGTGTAAAAGTTCATTCAAAATCCCAGCCACTAGCTTCTATACAACATTTTAGGGCAAAGAGCCTCCACTGTAGCCTGGTTGTACCACACCATAGTACAAATTACATTTCATACTAAGGTCTTACAGGTGGGAGAGGTTAACTCCTTTTGCAGATTGAAACGATTGGATCTGAGTTTAGCTTGACGTATGTAATGCGCCCGAGTCTGTTGTTAGCATTTAGCCTAGCCATCTCCTTTGCCGCTAACGGAGCCCGTGGGGAGTAGCGCCACAATCTTGACCAGCGATTACATTTGCTAAACATTCCTCTTGCTCCTGCTTCAGTTTCTTGATTGAACCAGACCGGATTACTTTACTATCGCATTCTTCACCATTGCCAAACTACAACCTGCCCGTTCGGCGCAAACTCTTGACGTCACCGGCACTGACCTACAACACTCGCATTCCGCGCTCTCCGAGTAGCCGGTCGAAATACGACCGATTGTATTCGCTAACACAGGGACCAGACCCAGACGTTACATGCAGTGAAATTATGATTGAGCGGAGTGTACGGATGGCTATGGCCAGGCTACCTCCACTGCAGTCTCCGCTACTTGTGCCTCCCATGTATGGTGCCTCCCCATAATCGCAGGGACAGAAACATAATGGAGAAGTCTTTGTCTTGTGTTTGTTAGACGAAAGAGAGCAGGGAGAGTCGCAGTGACACTGAGCAGGCGCAGGCTTGACTTTGCACGAACGGACTGTTCAGTAGAGACGCACAGACTTGGCGGGAAAGTGAAAAGGGAGGAGCAGGAGCGAAAAATCAACGCCCACAGGAGATGGATTCTGCTCATCCTTTCCTTGGGACGTTCGTGCGACAACCAATCAAAGAGCCGCAAAGTGGTCACAGGGACATTAGCGGACTGAGCGAGCAGACTGAAAATACTCATAAACAGCCAAAATAGGACCCACACCAGACTTCACCAGAACTCAAACCAGGGTTAACAATGGGGGACTCTGTGCTGCTGAAAATATGCGTTGTCATGCTCCCGTGACCTTATGCAACTGCTTCGAGTGTGTTCGCCGATGCGGAAATTCCGTTTAATAATATAAAAAACGTATGGCGCACCTCCGTGAACACATACTACTGTTGTATAAAGCCCGTGGAAGGTCTGTGAGCAAAGACACGCTGCAAAGCTGCATATTGGAGAAGATCTGTACACAAGAACCCGCTAGCATAGCTCTGTTAGCATTAGAGCCGGCCGGCTACTTCCGGTACTTCCGGCTCGCGTCAGGACGTTCTGGTGTGAAGTTCTCTGCGTCTGAAAACTAGAGAATGCGCGTCTGGTGAGCGGGGCTTCCGCGTTTCAGCGTTGGCGGTCTGAAAGCCCCATAACACAGGTTGCCAGATTTGCAGAGGCAAGCGCTGTAAACAGTCTGTGTGTGTGTGTCCGACGCTGCATTGGAGTGAGGACACGCGGCGGTGCGCGTGCCGTTTCTCTTCATGCACAGCGCGAGGTGGTGCTGAATTCATGTCAAAGAGGGAAAACTTCCCTCAGATCTGGGAAAAAAGTGTCAGGGCAGGGCCTCGCTTTTCAAATTCGCACAGGGCCTCGCACCCCCCTTGCGACGGGCCTGCTTGCAAATATTTTATATTGCTACTTTAAAGGGTTAAGTCTATGGAGGGTTCAAAAAATGTATTAATCACTTAGTAAATTAGTTGACATCTATTTAAATAATAGCTTAACTTGTTACAGCCCTACAAAGAAAAAAACCATACAACAAACATTCCACGAGGACTTACCCTTTGCAAAACCCTCCTCGGTATGTGATTATTTTGACTTCTTTGACAGCCCCGAAAGTCTCAAAGAAGTCACGCATTTCATTTTCATCCACCTGCAGAAAATTCATGATTTCAAATCGTCACTTATTCATGTTGACTATATTCCACATTTTAAACTGCCCCAGTGGGGACTCGTCTGCTCTTCTGTCGCTTCCCCAATTATGCCATCCATTTACGAATGACCTATTTTAGGGATTAATACATGCATGAATTTACACTTTGCAGTCGTAATTAGTGTGAGCTCAAATGTTAAAACTACAGGAAGTAGGTTTACTCATTTTCTTGACATAACAGTTGAGCTTAAAATGTGTGTACAGAGAAAAATGGCTTACCTTTGTATCAATCCCACCAACAAACAGGGCATTGGGAGTGATCTTGCCTTCAGGCAGAACGTACCCATTACACATGCGAAGGGAGGGTGAGGTATTGCCTCCGCTTCTGTACTTGTTATCATCCTTAGAGAGCACAGAAGAAAACATTCAGCTATTGTCTACAGAGCAAAACATGCACAGGTTTAACAATGCAACAAAAATAATTGGACGAACAACATATTTCAGTCTTATTTTAGATTTATGGCGGTGTGCAAGAGATTTGAATGAAAAATCCATGAGATGGGCCTTTTTTCTTTTGAATAATTTCCGTTCAGATAAGGGGTGGGCGATATGGACAAAAATAAATATTTCGATATTATTTTCCAACTCCCGATAACGATATTGTCACGATATCTTTAAAATCAATCCTATTTACACAAAATGATCTGTAATGTTTTGCTGCCAGGACATCTACAGAGAGAGACGGTGTAGATCAAAATAGAAGCTTCACACTTCTTTGCACAAACATATAAACAGCAAAAATCAAATTCAAGTAACACAGAAAGAACACATCCAAAAAGGCTAGCTCAATATTTACTGAAATGTACAAATAAAGCAATGATTGGCTTTTTAGGCACACATTTCACCAAATGGGCATCTGTCCTTCTCTAACTGTAATATGTATGTAAAAAGAAAAAGGAAGATAAAACAAAAAAACATATCTCCAAATTGACTTTCACGATATTATTGTCTACGATATATTTTGCCCACCCCTACAGATCCCAGAATATCTGTGAATTTAGGCAAATTGTGGCACCCCCGTTAATATAGATTCATGGGCACCCCCTTGTAGAAGCAAACAAAATGCGTAGATAAATTAATGATAAACACTTCCTCAATATAACTATTTTACCCATAATGCAATTAATTACTCAAGTAAATAATTAAGTAACATCTGATTATGAATGATCAACAACAAAAATTTCACAATAATAATCTATAAGTAGAACGATAACAAGAAAAAGTCCCATCTGTGCAGCTGATGTCATGGTCATGCTCCAGATCTCCTCGACAGCGTAGCTCCACATGCAACATGCTAATTCACTGGATTTACATTTCCAGGTGATTTTCAACAATCTGACATTGACGTTCATTCAAACTTACGCCGCAAAAGATGTTTGATTCAGGATTTTGTTACAGCAGACATTTTTGCCTGGACAGTAAGTTAACAACAAATGAGAAGGTGTAGCATGTAGCGCAAGTTAGCACCACGAGTTTAACAGGTGCGTTAGCTAGGTTGTTTTAAGCATAAAATAGCGTATTTACTTTGGTCGCTGGTTCCGTGTCTTATCGTACTAACATGCGTACAGACAACACCAGTGGTTTCAATGCTTACCATGACTTAAAAAGATTAAAAAGTGCAGCTCGAGAAGCGGACACCGATTGCCGCGTTTAGAGGGGTCGCGCGAGCCTAACACCAGCACTACGTCACTGAACGGGATACCACGTGCGCTCGTGAACTGTACCGCAGCCAATGAGAATTCAGCAGTACGAGTGTGTCCGTGGTTACAGACATATCATTTTCCTGTAATCGCTTTGATTGCTTGATTTATTAGTTTGAATAACGTGGTATGTATATTTCATTATTAACAAATATAATCAAATAAGCGAACAATGCAGATTCAATATATCCGATTTCAACTAAAGTTATCCCTTTACTTTCTTTCTGTGTGATTTGTATTGATATTTTAGCCCTAAACCTATCGGAATTTAAAAGGTTTTATATTTCACTCAATTTTAAAACATGGTGCTGTCCTTTTTCAGAAACATAACTTTTAAAACGCAAGATAGGACAAGGAAAGAGGTGTTCCTGCTGAATTTGGATGCAGCCAGGAACAGTCCATGACCATTTTCTCTATTCCACTTTTGCCAAACGTGATGAGAATATACCTTTCCCCTCCCCAATATTTACAAGAGGATACACCGAACATCAACGCATGTATCCCCACTCCCCCTTTACTTCTTACCACTCCCTTTCAAGCATCAGTGGGTAAGCTATTGTATGTCTCCCTTTTTCTCTCTCTCTTTTGTGATCTTGGAATACGATTTACTTGAAATAAATCACATGATGACATTAAATCTGACAGTTCACTTCTACTCCAACCATTGTGCAACACAGTGGATTACTTATTCTATTTCTGATATCATTTCAGTGTCAACCTTTTTAATGCATTTGTTTCCTTTAACTTTCAACGTATTGTAAGACATGCCTCATATCAAGGCAAAAAACTATTTATTTACACGTGACAAAAAAACATCATGTAATTTTCTTGATACATTGAATAATAATGTTTTAATAGCAACCACAATGATTACAGGAAGTCACAAACTAATAATGTACTTTGGCACAACTTTTTTGCACCCAGAGCCGAAGCAAATTCCTAGTTTGTGACTTCCTGTTAGTTAAAATGTCAATAAAAATTTGATTTTGATCTATGGTGGTGGTCAACAACACGCTGCCAGCAGAGGGCGGCAGCAGTGCACTTGTTGATCTCGAACACATATTTCACGTTTATCTAATAGTAAAACAGCGATGAGCGATGAGCATGCAGCATTTGTCAGAACTCTGCAGCTAAATCTGATATATTTTCAGAGAAAGCGAGGAAAGAGAGAAAACGTGACCATCAGAATTGTGCCGTAAATAGTCTGTGTGTGAGAGGATCCATGGTAACCGACAGATCACAGGCTTCCGTTGGCGGCTTTTCAAGTCCGTGTGTGGGCCAGTGTTTCCTCTTTGTTTATGGTAAGTGTTAAGATTATAGACTGTATTTCAAGCCATATACATCTCCATTATGTTTCAGTTAATTGTTTTCATTCACTAATCTCCCCAACGCTGTAGCAGCCGCTGCAAATTAATCCATGTCGCACTAAGGTAAAGTTTTCTGGACAAACTAGAAAAAATAAAGGGGACATCAAGGCAACTTTATTTGTGAAGCACTGTGTATCCACAAGGCCACTCAAAGTGCTTAACAAAACAAGGAAATCACACAAGGCGTTAACATCACAAGTAATCACAGTACATAAAAAAAATAGTGAAGATAAAAGCTCTCATGTGTATGTACAGCTAAACCATACTGTTTGTCAGCCTGTCTTATGTTTTCAGGAAGACTGTTCTAGATTCTAGCTGCATGAATCTGAAATGCTGCCTCCTCATGTGTAGTTCTCTTTCTGGGCACCAGCAGCAGGCCAGTCCCTGTCCTCCTCAGAGTCCGAGTTCAACACAACACAGATGTACTTTGGTGCGAGGCCATGGAGAGACTTGTACACGAGCAAATCTGCTTTAAAGTCACATAAAACCTCTAGCAGTTCCTAGATTTGGGGAAAAAAATAAACTCCTCTAACTAACCAACTAAGTTCCTGGCTCTATAACAGTTTTCACATGCATGTGAAACACCAGAACCAAGTTGCTGTCATGTTGTACAAGAACATCTGAGTATGGGCTGGAAACCCCAAGGTCATGATGGGAAACTCCTTCAAAGTTGGTTGAGAATGAGTGAGGGAAGGTTCCAGATGCAGCCTGGAAGATTAGAACAGCAGTAGTATCAGTTTTGATTTGACTCGAGCACTCAGGGCAGTGACCCCCAAACTGGGGGGGTTAATGGTAATATATTTTATTGTAGCTCTCGGCTCATGTATGTGCAGTGTGCAGAACAGCAAAGATACTGTGCAGAACCCTTAACCCGAGGAGAGTGAATGTGGGAAATTCTTATAATAATAATAATAATGATAATAATAATTCAGTTTTAAATAGCGCTTTTTTGCACACCAAAAGATGCTTCACATGTCATTATTCATTCCCTCCATACACGGTGGTGATAAACTACTACTGTAGCCACAGCTGCCCTGGGGCACACTGACAGAAGCGAGGCAACCAGTATGTGCCATCGGCCCCTCCGACCACCACCAACCATTCACACACACCAGACTCATTCTAGGCAATGGGGGTGAAGTGTCTTGCCTAAGGACACAATGGCAATTTTTCACATTATAAAATATATTACTGTATGTTAAAATTATGTTTTCAACTGGGTAACAAAATCATGAAAAATAAAAACTTATATTACTAAATCAAAAATTATGTAGTATGTAATTGAAACAATGGTTTGCTATTTACTAAATAGCCGTTGTTCAGCATCTGTCTGCAATTTCTACATTCCAGATCGTTCTCTCACCATGAGCGAGACCAGAGGAAACATTGTGCCTCCTCTTCTGCCCTACAGGTGCAACCAGGAAGAGGATCTGCTCCAGGTTAGGATCCACCAGTTTGTGGACGGGATGTAAATGTTGTGTTTTGTTCCCAAATCAAAAAATACCTGGGAGCTGCTTTTATCTTTGTGCACATATTCAACAAAAGTTCTACTGTATCTACTCAGTCACAGTGCTGCCATGCTCAAAGCTAAAACTGTGATATAGCAGATAGATAGATAGATAGATAGATATCCCCGTAGGAGAAATTCAGGTGTCCACTAGCAGCAAAAATAAAAAATAAAATTTATCATTCTAAAAAGTTAAAAATAGTAAAAATCAGCGACAGACCTTCAGGTCACAGCAGCAGAGGTGGAGTAGCCTCTGGGTGGAGCAGGACGGCTCACAGCAGCAGAGGTGGAGTAGCCTCTGGGTGGAGCAGGACGGCTCACAGCAGCAGAGGTGGAGTAGCCTCTGGGTGGAGCAGGACGGCTCACAGCAGCAGAGGTGGAGTAGCCTCTGGGTGGAGCAGGACAGGTCTCAAGGTGAAGAAGCCGCTTGGTTCGGATCATTTTCTCTGCTCTAGTCCAAAGTAAAATGCTAGATCCTCTTGGTTCAGACCATGAATCCTCTCTGCTCCGGTCTGGACCAGTGTAAAACCATGAACACTGAACTGCAGCAACAGGTAGAAAAAAGCAATACAAATTTAAATTAAAAAGCACAAAACAACAACTGTTTCAGAGCTACTTAGGACTTGCAGCCGTTTTCCAGCGCATTCAAAAGATTCAAAAGATTATCACAATAAACATGTTCCAAAATGAGTGCAAATAATATGAGCAACTTTGTAATATTTGTGTAGACCTTTCAGAGGAACTGCCTGTACCCTCCCATCCTCCTGCTCAGCTGCAGGACCCAGGGCATTCCTTACAAAGAGATCCTGGACCAGCGCCACCGCAGCCCCAGTCAGATTATAGGGAGCAACTACAACCCAAGAGCACACGACTTCAACCTCACCAAGCTCCCTACACGCCAAACGCCATCCTGTATCCTTCATTCTGCACTTAGATAGATAGAAAGATAGATATAGAGATGCTTTGTTGATCCAGGTGATTCAGGTGTGCAGCAGCAGAAACGCATCCATCCACACAAACACATAATCCTAAAAGTTACTAACAACAGTGATAAAGTGAAACATCAAATGATATTATGAATGTTTTCACTTCTCATGCAAAGAGCAGTGTTAACTTCTGAACTCTGGAGGCGTTGGAGAAACTGTCTTTACAGAATTTTATAAATACTTTTATCTTGCGTTTTTACTCTTTTTACTTTTGATATGTCTGAATTAGATCAAATTAAATAATAATGATTTTAGGTCACAGCAGCAGAGGTGGTGTAGCTGTGGGAGAGAAGCTGGTTCCTATCATCTAGTTGATGTAAGCAGAGTCTGCTTGGGTCAGTGTCAAATTTTAAATGCTTTCTTAGCATTTAATGTATTTATTTTTTAAGTACGTTTGATCTTCTTGTTTCAAAAATGTGCATTCTTTAAAGCCAGAGTACCAGGATATATAAAAATCCCTCTAACTAATTTCTCACTATCAATACAGATAAATGATGTCCATAGATTGCAGATCAGGAGTGGACTGACCGGGTGCTGATGTCACCTCGTGTTGGTTGATTGCGGAAAAAGCCAATTGACATGTAAGCTAGCTGCGGGTAATTTCCTTATATGGGCATTTGTTCCGACAGGGTAAGATTCAAGCCCTAAAGGGTTCAGATGTGTTGATAACAGCATTTATTTTATCCCGTAATGGTTACTGAGCGAGAGGAGTTTGCTTTTCAAAGTAAGTCAATAGGAGCCAAAGCGAGTTGAGAGCAAATCTTCCCCATGAGCACTTCCCATGCATGTATTTTTGGCCTCAGTCACATCTGAAGTTCAGAATAGTGAAAAGGAGAGGACCACGTTCCAGTACGTACGCCAGCTGTAAGATTGAATGAAAACTTGATGAAAACTATTTAAGAATGTTTACAATGAGACTTTAACAATGCATTAGATTCCTCTTCCCGTGTTCAAGGGCGGACAACGCGTAGGTAAGACCGTTTTTTTATTGTCACATTGTTTTATTTTTTATGTTTAGTTAAAAAGCTAGTTTGTGAGCACTTTTACATTTCATTGGACATACATTACAGCACCCTAACAGAAAAAACATGGGTGTTGGTTCATAAGGGGCAGATGACCAATGTCCATAAGTGTTGAATACATGTAAAAAAGTGATGCCTCTCGATGAGTTTCGGGGGATTTCTCTATAGTCAATTAATGGTTTCACATTTTTACCTCAGATAGATATTCCCATTTCAGAATTAGCTCTAAATCTATCGGAATCTCTGCATTTTACATGGCCATCAATATATTTTCTACTTATTAGACAGAGATTCAGTTATAATCCAGAACAATTAATATTTTAGCTGGCTTTTCTCCAAATCACCGATCTTACTTAGTCACTATAATCTTCTGACTGCTTATATTTCTCTTTTGAAGTGCGTAAAAACAGTGGATCAAGTTCGGAGGCAGAGGTTTCAACGTTCAACATTTATGGACATTGGTCATCTGCCCCTTATGAACCAATGGCTTTATGTGCTTTTTATAATTTGATTTCTTGTGTTTGATTCTCTGATCTGTGTTGGCAAATTTAACGGCTTTGTGAATTCCTCCGAGATCGCTACTGTTGTGGTTTAGGGCTATCCAAACATAACTTGAAATGAACTGAATTGAATGATCCATCTGTTGTTCTGTGGGTTCTCACAGCTGCTGTGTTGTCCAGGTCTGGGCCTTCAGCGACCTCCAAAGAAGCTCCCAGAGTTCGCCCCTTGAGTCCCACTGAACAGAGAGAGATCATGATACGACAGGAGAACAAGCACAAGAGCCCCGAGCCCACTCACACTGACTTACAGGTACCACATACACTTTGAATAATCCATCCAAGACCATTCTATACGGCTTTTTATGTCCTCAGAATGTAAGTGCTTTCAGACTGATCAAATACTAAACAGCAAGTTACAGTAAGAGAATATTGCCGATAAACGTTCCGAATTTTTTTTTCTGTATAATAATAGTAATCTACATGAATCGTCATTATGGTTGCTTATATTCTGATTTGGTTGTGCTTCAATAAAAATGATTGGGTGTTATTGTGTTATTATTTCTTAACTCAACGTTTCATGTTAACAAGTCAGGAATGTCTTCAAACCTGTGAAATGCTGTGTCTCAAAACCAAATAAGTCTAGCCTCATTACAAATACCTACTTGTAGAATAGTAAAAGGAGGCAAGCCCTTAGCACACAGACGTACTGTGCTTTAGGGGGCCATGGAGAGACTTGCACACAATCAGAGCTGCTTTAAAGTCTATTCTCTGAGCAAGAGGAAGCCAGTGCAGAGACCTGAGGACCAGAACTAATGAGATGGTACTTCCTGGTTATAGTCAGGACTCGAGCTGCTGCCTTTTGAATATACTGCAGCTGTTTTACAACTCGTTCTGAGAGACCAATTAGCATGTATTTTGGCCATGTTTTGTGATAAACAGCTGCTGATCTTATTGATGTGGCTGTTACAATTTCCATTCGGTGAGTCCAGTATTAGCCCTACATTTCTGACCTGATTTTAAGGCTTTAGGGAGAGAGACTGGAGGAGACTGATCTCTTTGTTTCTGGAGACCAAAGACAAACCCCTGTTTAGCTGAAAAAACTTTGTGTGACTAGCGTGTCAGGACTTACTGATCTGCTGAATGCAGTGGTCCATGTTTCCATAGATTATTATCTTTTATCAAATGTATATGATGTATGCATTTATTGAATGATTGACAGGCACCATGTAGATACGATACTTACAAAGTAAATAGAATCAGATTTTAAACAAACCATCTCCACCATCGGCTGTGTTTCATAAATATCATTGGAACATTATGTCTATCTGTATTTATTTTCCTGCTGGTTGTTCCCAGAGGTACGAGTATTACATTCAGAGCATCCCGTGCAGCGTGCTGCCCCCGGAGCCTGCTCAGCAGACACAGCACATTGTGAGTCTGAGCAGGAGTCCTCTCACTGTGGACAAACACAGGAAGAACATGCAGCAGTTACAGAAGAACCTGGAGGACGAGGTCAAGCAGCACTACGTCTATGAACTCAAGAGAAGCATGGGTAATAAATATACTGTATCATTCTACATACACATGACAGGTGTGTGTATTCCAGTCGAGTGGAAATCAGATTTATTACAAACCTGCACAAAAAGTAAACGCTTAAATAATCCAAATCCCCTACCACCCATTTAAAGTTGAACAAATAAATAAATGAAAATGCTTTTCTTTGCCGGTAGGTATGTGAAAGTGGTAGTTATTCATTTATGTTGTGAATGGTCATAAAAAGGTCTGAGCAAGACTTGAATTGGACTTGAAGAAACCTGTAGGAACCCGGTCTGTGATGAACAGAGACACTGCTGCAGAGAGAGCAGAGACAGCGGAGGCAGAGAAAGGCCCTCCTCCTCCAGAGACACACTTTATATTACCATCATCAGAAAACTATTGCTAAAGTCACTAAAGTCAGTTTTTAATCAGCCTGTTTCTCTTCTCACACAGCCTCAGAACGTACAGTTGTATTGTCAAACTTCTGTTCAACGCACTGTGTCCCGGCAGTGAGTGTGTTGCCGGTCAAATGCTGTGTCACTGCATTTACACACTTGTAGATCTTCAGTCCATTCGGGGTCCCCCACTTGGTCAGTGACTCTAGTACTAGGTTCAATAGTTCCTTTTCATTCTCACCGTCATGATAATTACTCCACCAAATTTTTTTTGCTATAAATCACAGATGACACAATTTTTAAGGGACCAGGAAATGTATAGATATATATCGGGTAACCAGTGGCTCAGTTGGTAGACCATTGTTGTGTCCTTGGGCAAGACACTTAACGTTGCCCCCGCTGAAAGACCAAGACTGTGTCACCATTGACGGGGCGGCCATCTTCCCGTGGGCCCACCACCTGCAGGAGGATCAGCGATGGACTGGTGCTTTGAGCATCGGGTGGCAGCTTTCATTGCATCCTCCCCTGACCCAGAAATTGACTAATAAAGGGGTAAAACGTGAATGAATATTGGGTAAATATGGAAGATTCATTTCAAATTATAGATATTAGTGTTGTAGATATAACATAGTCTGTGTCTGTAGATGTACCCATTTGTTCCATGGCAGCAGGCCTTAAGTGAACAGAATGAAAGAACATTTATGGGAAAATGGTTCAGACTGAACATGCAGATTGTGGACAGTGGGCTGTAATGAAAGTAATTTGTATGTGGTTTATTGTGGTACAGTGGACTACATTCTGATGGACCAGGCTGAGCGGCAGAGACTGTCCATCAGCTCCATACCGGAGCACTTCCCCTTGCGGGTGATCCAGGCCCCTGTGCCCTGGGGCCAGAGTTATAGAGAGACCAGACAATGGCACCAGAAGCATCTGTTCACACACAGCCTCATCACCCTCCTGCTGCAGAGTGCATGGGCCACACGGTATGTTACTAATGATATGTATTTAAGATGGAGTAAGTGTGTGGATAGAGAAGTCTGGGCATCTCTGCTCAGACTGCTGCTCCTGCAAATCAGCAACAGATGAAGAGGAAGAAAATTGAAGGATGGATAGTCATTTCGGCACCCATTTTCTGCCGCTTCTTCTGTTTCCGTTCCGTGGAGGCAGCAGTCTGAGCAGAGATGCCCAGACTTTCCACACTTCCCCAAGCTCATCCGGGGGAATCCTGAGGTGTTCCAGATCCAGCTGGAACATGTGCACTGTTACACCATGGTAACTGCAGACATACATGTGCCTCCCCAGTGTCATTAGTTCATCATGCCCCTTATAGCGGCTGCCTGTTGCCTACAGCTGCAGAAAGGCCAGTTGGGTCCGATAAAAGTGTATGACGCGCTAAATTAGTATAGAAAACAAACGGAGAGGCTGGATCCAGTTGCGATGTCATTTAATTCATGATAAACGCTGCGGTCACAGGCCAAAATGCGTGGTGAATATACAGAAAAAATGATTGAATAAACTTAAGCCAGAAAAATAGCACAAATAAATAAAACAAAACTATAGTAGCGGTCAACAAAAATTATGGCCTCCTAAACAGACCTCTCTCCTCTTTTTTCGTGCCCCCGCAGGTGTGCCCATTCATAATTTTGTGTACCGCGTCCAAACACACATGCACGCCCACACACACGCCTACCACCACACACACACACGCACACGCTCACGCACACATGCACGCCCATAATGCATTACTCCTCCATCAGCCAAACGTTCATTTATTCACACAGTGCCCAAACGTGTCTCCTACACCCCTCTTACACTATATATATTACTCATGCTGATAAAATGTTTTCTTTGCCCGCAGCTTTTCCTCTCTGCGCTTCGTCCCAGTGCAGGAGCTGTCCTCTGCCGGCCTGCCTCTTCCTCCCTCTGAGTTCGTGGAGCTCATCCAGAAGCAGTGCAAAAGAACCTGCGAGGAGCTGCTGAAGCAGTGAGTGTGTCGTCTGTCACCGAGGGAAGATAATCCTCGTGTCCAGAGCAGATACTGTTTCAGCTTGTTCACTTTGTCGGGGAAATGTCCAGCGCTTGCGTTACACTGAAGCTGCCTCTCAGTGACCGCACAGACACATACATTATTTGTTTATTTATTATTTATTCATTTTCACACTCTTACAGCATTTTAGAATTTTGGTTAAATTTGGTTAGAATTTTTGGCTTGTTCATCTAACACTGCAAAAAGTGTCAAAAAATCAAGTCAAAATCTCTCTAATTTGTCAAAACGTATCTTAATTTGAGCACATTCTGACTTAAAAAGGGACAAACAAAATGATCTTGTTTTAAAAAGATGACTAACCCTTGGAATTAGAAAATAAAGCAACAGTTCTTGAAATAAAACTAAATGGCTTGGTCCCATTGACAAATCTTGTTTTAAGACAGATGTACCCAAGCAAATATTACCTCATATTTTATCCTTTTATTTAGAGTATACAGTGTTCTTGATATTTTGGTCTGAAGATTGAAGCTAACATAACTATTAGTTCCGTTGCAGATGTAATGAGGAAGGCCGTGATTCCTCTGGTTTAAAATCACATGCACTCTGCAAGTTTTTTGTCTTTTTAACAACAATAAAATGTCGTCTGCTGTGACATAAGATCCCAGACCTCCATATCTTTCTTCGACATTGCCACGAATATCAAATAAATAAAACAAATTTGTGCTCATTTTTGTGAAACTTGTTTAAATTGATTCCCCGAAAAGATCTATAAAGCTTATAAATGGGGTCCAACATTGCTTATAAAAAATATATGAGATAGACTGGACATAGACAAACTAGCTCTGTGGAGGCTAATTGAGGTGTTCATTAGTTAGATTTCTCTCTTACTCTTAAAATCATGTGGTTTTAACTCTCTGTATGATTCTGGTGTTTATATTTTCATGATATCTTTGTAAATCCAGATGTGAGCCCTAAGAATTGACCAATCCGGTGTCTTCTGTCTCCAAACTCTGCTTAACTCACAAATGTGGCTCCAGTTTTCTCGCTCTAATTCTCACAAACCTTTTGCTTTTAATGCTTCTTATGTCTAATGTTATCTCTAGTTCTTATGGAGCCAATAGAAAGACTTTTCACAAATTCAAGTTTTCTTTTTGTGCACAAAGAACTAAAACAATTGCAGTCTTTGCGGTTTCGTATTTGTTAGCATGAACACGATTACACTGTGATAATGTTGTGTTGTGCTGTGTGCAGGTGGCTCCCTCACTGTGCCTGGGTGTGCAGGCAGTGTGAGGAGCTGTGGTTGCCCCATGTGTTGTCTGAGAAGCAGACCTCCTCTGGTCTGACCGAGGAGCTGTTCGGGGCCGTGGCGGCTCTCATGTCGCTGCAGCTACGGAGCCTGGTCAGCAGCTCTCTGCACGACTTACTCAGCTTCTTCAGCACACACCAGGTCTGCAGCACCACACAACACAAGGCTGCATCATCGTGACAACAATATCTCTGACACACATACAGTATTTTTTTGTATTATTTTTTTTGACATCTTTAGGTTATTTTAGTTTTATTAGCTTCTTAAATTCAAAGGGCAGAATATTACATTATGTACTCATTTTACCTCAGTAGGATTCTGCTTTTAGATTTTAAAAAGATTGGCCAAACCCAGGATAAAAAGATAATAAAGCAATGAACACATTATCAAGTACTGCACTTGAATGGTTAGAAAATATAAAAATAAAGATATATGAAGATGATAATGCATACTTGTTTTGCACTTTTCACACGCACAGACGCACACACATGCAAGTTAGGCAATGCTCTGTGGGTCCGGATGTTTCCAGAGGTCTCCCATCACAGTGCCAACCAGACCCAATCATGCTTGGCTTCTGCTCTGTGACAGGCTTGGGCTTTCACGTGCAGATGGCAGGGGGATAATTCAGCAAATCCCACAATTAATCAAACTGCAATTTCAATTCTGAAAAAACACCCTACACCAAATCACATGAAAACTTATGAGCCATGTATGAACTAAGCTGTGGTTAAATGACTGAACGTGATTTGTACTGATCGTGTTAATAAAATACATTACTGTTTATTGTCAGGGAAAGAACAAACTGCACTGAAAAAAGTGATGAAAAAGTAGCACAAAAAAATCTAAATTTGAGCACATAATTACTGCCTTAAAACAATATTTGCCAATGGGACAAAGCAAAGATACAAGAAATGTCTCCCTTGGAATGACAAAATATAGCAACAGTTCTTGAAAAAAGACTAAATGACTTTGTCCCATTGACAAATCTTGTTTTGATGTGCTCAAATTAAGATAAAAACCACTTTATGTAAGCATTTATTACCTCATATTTTTTGCAGTGTATGTGTTACCCTTTCTTTTTGTCCAATCCAAATGTAAACATCTCACAGCTCGTATTGAGAAATTAATCTTGTCCCATTCCTTGCATAAATATAGTTCAGATACAGTGAGACCAAAACCAGTCTATTACACATACAGTACATGCATTTGTATCTCTGTCCCAGGCTGTGTTGGAGGCAGTGAAAAAGTGTGTGTGCTTGGTTCCAGGAGGGGAATGACTTTGGCCCCGTGCTCCAGGATCTGCAGTACACTCAGCCTCAGGTACTGCTGGTCAAACTGATGCTGGAGGGCTCTCACATCCGCTTTGAGCCCAGTCTGGACCAGTGCTGGCTCAGCATCCACCAGGCCTTCATGGAGGTCATCCAGAGCAGCAAAGACATACCCCGGGTAACAGCCGTGTTTCTGTCACAACAATAGCCGTCTTGGAGGACTTTTCAAAGTTGTTGTAAATCCAGGACTGAGGCTGTAGATCCAGGACTGAGGCTGTAGATCCAGGACTGAGGATCTATATATAAATATATATTCGTCAAACATATTCCTGGAGTTTATTGAGCTAATACTAGAAACATCAGGAACAAACATCTGTCAGGTGTTGTGTTTTAAAATACTAACTCCTTGAAATCATGGACAGACTAAATTTTCTTCTTCAAAATAGTGTTGAAATATCATCAAGTCTTTTTATTTTGTGTAATTTCATTTGAGCTCTGGTTTAGGACCCTGAAGCAGACACAGGGCAGGTATAAGTCACAAGGCAAAAACTGTTAAAACGGTCTTGAGCTCAAGTTGTTTCTGTCCCACTGAGACGGACCCGTCATGGAGCCGAAGAGACACAAGAGGGCGACAAACACCACGGACCAAACACATCATCTTTATATACTTTATAGTTTAGTAAATAATATATTACAAACATTACCCGTGTGTGTGAATGGTTGTTGGTGGTCGGAGGGGCTGATGGCACATACTGGTCGCCTCGCTTCTGTCAGTGTGCCCCAGGGCAGCTGTGGCTAAAGTAGTAGTTTATCACCACCGTGTATGGGGTGAAAGAATAATGAATTGTGAAGTGTCTTTGAGTGTCCAAAAAAGTGCTTCATAAAACCGATGCATTATTATTATTACTATTTTTATTATCACTATACACAGCAAAACATGCATAATCACATATTTGCAAGTTATGTACCGTACTGCGCATGCAAGTTTGGGAGCACCAGGGTCCACAGTGGGGCGGCTGCCAAATGTCAATGCGTCCTTAGGCGAAACACTTCTACCACATGAGAATGAGTCTGGGGTGTGCGTGAATGTTGGTGTTTGTTGCCTCGCTTCTGTCAGTGTGCCCCAGGGCAGCTGTGGCTACGGAAGTAGTTTATCAACACTGTGTATGGAGTGATGTGAAGTGTCTTTGAGTGTCCTGAAAAGCGCTGTACTAAACCAATGCATGATTAAAATAGTTATACTTTAAAAAGAGTGTGGAGAAAGGAGAGATCCAAGGAGAGAAAGGGAGGAAAGGGACAGGGGAGAGAGTGGGGGAGGACAGGCTGCTTTTCATCAATCACCCTATTGTGATTAAACGTTGCTCTACACACATCTGGAACTTATCTGAAAAAACGGCACCAGTGTAAATAAATGAACACAAAGACTAAGTATCTTCTCAAGTGTCTCATGTATATTTTGAGTTTCTTATTCTCAAAATGTAAGTTTCTGAATCGCATTAATAATAAAGTACCACTACACACTTCTGCTCCTCTTTGCAGGTGGAGTCTGTGCTGTTCCCCATCCTGGAGCTCCCTCACCTCCTCACTGTCCGACCAGACGAGTCGTGGGTCACAGACATCCTCCAAGAGGCACGAGAAATTTTTGACAAGAACTCTGTGGGACCTGAAAAGTAGCCCCACTCCGTTGTCTCCATACACGTCCTCTTGAGAAGATAGAGTCATAGTTTGAGAGTTTGTTTTGTCCTTTGATTCGCAGGTACCTGAACTCATACCACAAATACAGCGACTTACTGGACGAGAGGGCAAAGTGCGACATCACAGCGTTCCTGACAGAGAAGCACTCGCTGGAGGGCTTTGCTAAGGTAACTACAAAATACTTTATAATGTCCTTCATGAGTTCTGCAAGTGTAAGATGTATATTTAAAATGATTGCTGGGGTATGCAACTTTTAAGCCTTATAAGTTCAAATGGAATCCTTCTTACTAGTTCCTCGCTCTCAAAACTGTTTGGCTCTATCTCTGGTTTTCACATGGTTTTTTTTCTCTTTTTAGATCTACTTTTTCAGACAGAAAAGTGAAAAAGAGAGGAGCACCCTCACTCGGCCCAAAGCGTCAAATATGTGACTCACAACACTATTTATTACAAGTAAACAAAAGATAACATGTTTTTTAAGATGAAGAAAGCTGATGTTGTGCTCTGATTCGTCAACTCTTTCTGTTGGGTCAAACAACATTAAACAAAAAGGTTAGGTACCCAAGCTTTAATGCCTCTGATATAATTAGCAGTCATGCATCCTATAGGGCTGCATGTTGGCCCTTCATCAGCCCTGTTTCCACCAGCCCTATTCGCTCCTTCAGCTCTTTTTGTGCGCTTCTACTATGCTTTAGTATCCGGTACCGTATCCTATCAAACTATCCTAAACAAACCAGCGTCCGGGGAAATTCCTTGGTAACCATGGTTTGACGAAGCACTCGGTCCAGTCCGTTAGAACCAGGACCAGTTAAACAGGGCCCGTAGAAACTCTCCCAACCGTGGTCTAGAAGAGCTAGTGGAAAGGGAGGTTTTAGTCTAAATGTCCTTATAATGAAGTAAAACAACCAAAAAACTACCCATTGACATAATTAAAAAAGCATAGCCATTTTCACCCCATAACTTATCTTCCAATTATTCCGTTGCCAGGTTTCAGGGGCAGGAGTTTAAGCCTCCATTGGCCGCAAACCAGCCCATAGCAAAACGAAAGGATAGTTTGAGTGTATATCATGTTCAGTTATGATCTTCTTTCTTCTCCCTTCATCCAGAAAATCCAAAGTATCAAAGTGACCTGGAGAAAGATCGTCTCGATGCGAGTGGCCGTGCCTTTGTCCATGTTTTGTCTGGACGCCGGCCCTTTAAATGAAGACCTGTGTGAGCGAACCGAGCGGCTCCAAGACCTGTTAGTGACCTTTCTAGTGGACGAGAACAGAGAGCTCAACAACAAGTGAGAAGCACCACTACACACACACACACACACACAGACACACACCCACACAAAATATAGGAACATTTAAGCAAACGGAGCAATGCACACACAGACATAAACTCAAATCACTAAAATTGCATAAGCTTCTTTGCACACTCTAGCTTTTGGATAAATATAATGTGTCGCTACATTTACGGTAGAGAAAGAAAGTTTTAAAGTTCATTTGCAAGTTTGCATCTGGGACTTTTATAATCATGAAAGTTTTTTAAACAAAATTAGTCCAGCAGCTTGGATTGAAACCTAAGTCTTGGGTTTGTAGAATGGATTAATAATGTTTGTTTTGAATTATTGTTTATTGCGTTCAGGGTTCATGTAAAACATATGTTGTGGTTCTTTTCTTTAGTAAATTAGCTTTAAAACTATGTATAACAGGCCATTATTGACCGCACTGATATAAGTTTGATGTTTCAGGCCAGTGCTTTAACTAAAAGGTTTTGCCCTGGTCTACTGCACAGACCCGGACCACCAGTGCTGGTCTCACCCCTGTGCGTCTGCCCTGTGTGCGTCTGCCTGTGTGCGTCTGCCCCGTGTGCGTCTGCCCCGTGTGCGTCTGCCCCGTGTACGTCTGCCCCGTGTGCGTCTGCCCTGTGTGCGTCTGCCCTGTGTGCGTCTGCCCCCTGTGCGTCTGCCCCATGTACGTCTGCCCCGTGTACGTCTGCCCCGTGTGCGTCTGCCCCGTGTGCGTCTGCCCCCTGTGCGTCTGCCCCGTGTGCGTCTGCCCCGTGTGCGTCTGCCCCGTGTACGTCTGCCCCGTGTGCGTCTGCCCCGTGTGCGTCTGCCCCGTGTACGTCTGCCCCGTGTGCGTCTGCCCCGTGTGCGTCTGCCCCGTGTGCGTCTGCCCCGTGTGCGTCTCCCCTGTGTGCGTCTGCCCCGGGTGCGTCTGCCCCGTGTGCGTCTGCCCCGTGTGCGTCTGCCCCGTGTGCGTCTGCCCCCTGTGCGTCTGCCCTGTGTGCGTCTGCCCCGTGTGCGTCTGCCCCGTGTACGTCTGCCCCGTGTGCGTCTGCCCTGTGTGCGTCTGCCCCGTGTGCATCTGCCCTGTGTGCGTCTCCCCTGTGTGCGTCTGCCCCGTGTGCGTCTGCCCCGTGTGCGTCTGCCCCGTGTGCGTCTGCCCCGTGTGCGTCTGCCCCGTGTGCGTCTGCCCCGTGTGCGTCTGCCCTGTGTGCAGGATCTGTCAGAGGTACCAGGACATCAGTGACACCATGAGAGGATTCCCCAGTTCCAAACAGGAGCTGGAGCACCTGGAGAACTTCATCAAGGAAACCAGTGACGTGACGGTGTACAAGCTCCTTGAAGAGGTCGACGAAGCAAAGAGCCGCCTCTACTTCCTCATGGATCACGCCACTTTGTCACGTACGTTGGCTTTTATTTATCAATTTATAGTTTTACACAAATGTTTTTATTTTAATTGTTTAAATGAGAGATGAGATGTACTTTATTATCTCACAATGATATATAAATATGGCTTCACCTTTAATCTGTTTCATTAAAGAATCTGGTGCCTAAAGGGTAAACACTTATATTTATTACAAAAATGATTGAAAGTGTTTCAATGATTTTTGTATTATGTATATATAAATCGGTTCTAAAATTAATAACAGAAATAAATATAAGAAAATATGTAAGATGTAAGACACTTCACCCACATTAGAATGAGTCTGGTGTGTGTGAATGGTTGGTGGTGGTCAGAGGGACCCGATGGCACATACTGGTTGCCTCGCTTCTGTCAGTGTGCCCCAGGGCAGCTGTGGCTACAGTAGTAGTTTATCACCACCGTGTATTGAGTGAAATTAGTCCAAAAAGTGCAATTGATGAGTCATTATTAGAAACATTTGTGGAAAGCCAGGTCGCTGTAAGGAAAGTGTCATGGATTCAGTAGTTGATGTTATAATTTCATACACTGTAAAAAGTGTTGCTTTAATCAGAAACAAAAAAAGTTCTGTAAGAGGTTCCATTGGCCTTTTTGAGTACTATCAACTTTAGCTCTTTATTAAATTCAATTTGACAGAAAGCAAAAGTATTACTTTTAAGTGATGGATTTACTTGAAATGTGTGAGTCCTTTCAAAGCAAAACTAACTTGGAGATGATCAATATACTCAATATTTTTGTGTTCATTCAAAATGAAACTTTCTTCCACCTGGAGAAGGTTTGTTAGTTTTTGTAATCCTTACATTGGGCTTTTGAACTCTGTAACCCTCATGCTGGGGAGTAAATGTGCTTGCAACCCGTTTAGGATTTGTTTGTAAGCATCATGACCATGTTGTAGTATCTGAGTCTGATCTGAACCCAGGGAGTATAGGGCTAGTTTGGCTTGACCCTGTCGATCACGGTTGTTAAAAATAAATACAATGACTTACTTGATCAAATAAGTGTATTCAAAATGTTGCTCAAGTATTTTGCTTTAGGACTTGCTTCATATTCACTCTTAAAATTAATGCTCAAATGTAGAATTTTTAAGAAGTTTATATTTTTCTCTGCAATGCATTCTGGGTAGCATCACTGCTTCGCCACATTTTGTTTTCAATCAACACAATATTTTTGTTTTGTCATTAATGGACCACCAGGCTTATTGAAGAAATATTTAAAGTACTTTCACTTAAAGCAATAAAATCAGTATTGTATTATCAGTATCAGCTAAATACAGACAAAACCGAAATCATTGTCTTTGGTCCCCAGAAACAAAGAGAGGGCGTCATTTGTCAACTTCAGTCTCTCTCCCTACTTCCTTCAGACAAGGTCAGAAATTTGGGGGTAATACTGGACTCAGACCTAAATTTCAATAGCCACATAAAATCAATAACATCAACAGCTTTTTACCATCTGAAGAACATTGCCAAAGTTAGAAATATAGTGTCCAGGGCAGACTTGGAGATTCTTGTCCATGCATTTGTCTCCAGCAGGCTAGACTACTGCAATGGCCTGCTTACAGGTCTGTCCAAACAGACCTGTAAGCAGCTGCAGTACATCCAAAATGCAGCAGCTAGAGTCCTGACAGGAACCAGGAAGTATGACCATATTAGTCCGGTCCTCAGGTCTCTGCACTGGCTTCCTGTGGCTCAAAGAATAGATTTTAAAACGGCTCTGCTTGTGTACAAGTCTCTCCATGGCCTTGCACCAGAATACATTAGTGACATGTTGGTGTCATATGAACCAGCCCGGACTCTGAGGAGCACAGGGACTGGCCTCCTGCTGGTGCCCAGAGTGAGAACCAAACATGGGGAGGCTGCGTTTCAGATCCATGCAGCTAAGATCTGGAACAATCTCCCTGAAAATGTGAGGGAGGCGTCTACTCTGTCAATGTTCAAATCCAGGTTAAAGACTGTTCTGTTTGCCTGTGCATACAACTGAAGGATTTTATCTCCATTTTTAATGCACTGCTGTCATTTATTTATTTTTTTAAATTTCTTGTGTAATTTTGAAAGTTTTAATGGTTTTATTCTTTTGTGTGATTTTAATGTTTTAATTGTGTTTTAATCTTTTGTGTGATTTTAATGTTTTAATTGTGATTCTGGTGTTTGTTTTATGTGATGATTTGTGATGTGGACTGTGAAGCGCTTTGTGTTGCCATGTGTATGAAAGGCGCTCTACAAATAAACTTTGATTGATTGCTTTGATTGATATTGTACAGGGAGCTATGATAATATTATACAGTACTTATTTGTTAACCAAAAATCTAGAATAGTGGAAAATGAAGTATATAGTAATTACTTAAAATATTTTACATCAAAGTTTGGTCTGATTCACTTATTACAGTGTAGACTTAAGTTAATATTTATTTATACGAAGGTGGTATGACGTATAAGTGCTTTGAACTTCTTCCTTTTCAGCACCATTCTTAGTGCTATTACTTTTTGCACAAATAAAAAAAATTGGCATTAAATCAAATCAAATCAAAGTCTCTCTGCTCCATCGTCCAAGTGCGAGGAACATGAGGCCAGAGAGCCTACGGTCACATTCAGGTGAACCAATCTATTCCAATCCTTTTCACAAATGGTTTTGTTTCCTGCTCCAGATGAGCACTTCTTCTTCCATCCACTCAGGGGTGCGTTGATCTTATTTATAATGTTGTCTTCTTTTCAGCTGAGGATGTCCGCTTGAACTCCAGTGTGTTCTGGTGGCCCACTGACATAAAGGCAGAGCTGGACCTGAGCAGGACACGTTTGTTAGACATGAGAGACCAGGCGGAGCAGGCAGACCAGGCAGAGTGCCAGGAGGAGGACCACTTCCTGTAGGGCTGGAACAATAAACACAACTCTACCCCCGTATTAATCAGTCTACATTCTTTATCACAATTGTTTTACCTTGAAATCACCTAATGTGCAAAACGCAGCCTGCAGAAATTCAGTCTGGTAGGCTCCTCCAGTCCCTCCTGAAGCTCATCCAAGTCGGCCCCTTTCACCTTCAGTACTAAGGCCTTACACCACCACCAGCACTTAGAAATTACACTCATCAGCCACTTTATTAGGTACACCTTTCTAGTACCAGGATGGACCCCCTTTTACCTTCAAAACTGTCTTAATCCTTCGTGGCATAGATTCAACAAGGTACATATTTGATAGCAATACAGAATGCAGTTTCTCCTGATTTGTCGGCTGCACATCCATGATGCGAATCTCCTGTTCCACCACATCCCAAGGTTGCTCTATTGAATGGGGATCTGGTGACTGTGGAGGCCATTACAGCACAGAGAACTTAGCGTCATGTTCAAGAAACCAGTCTGTGATGATTTGAGCTTTTTGACAAGGTGTTTTATCCTGCTGGAAGTAGCCATCAGAAGATGGGTACACTGTGGTCTTAAAGGGATGGACATGGTCAGAAACAATACTCAGGTGGGCTGTGGCGTGGCAACGATGCTCAACTGGTACTAAAGGACTCAAATAGTGACAAGAAACTATCCCCCACACCATTACACCACCACCACCAGCCTGAACCGTTGATACAAGGCAGGATGGATCCATGCTTTCATGTTGTTGACTCCGAATTCTGACCCTACCATCCGAATGTTGCAGCAGAAATCGAGACTCATCAGACCAGGAAACTTTTGCCAATCTTCTATTGTTCAATTTCGGTGAGCCTGTGCGAATTGTAGCCTCAGTTTCCTATTTTCAGCTGACAGGAGTGGCACCCGTGTGCTGTCACCCATCTGCCTCAAGGTCTGACGTGTTCTGTGTTCAGAGAGGCCCTCTTGCAGACCTTGGTTGGAACAAGTGGTTACTTGAGTTACTGTTGCCTTTCTATCAGCTCAAACCAGTCACCTCTGACATCAACAACCATGCCACATTCAAAGTCACTTAAATCACCTTTCTTCCCCATTTTGATGCTCGGTTTGAACTGCAGCAGATTGTCTTAACCATGACTACATTCCTAAATGCATTGAGTTGCTGACATGTTAGGAATTTCCATTAAAGTGGAGTTGGATAGGTGTACCTAATAAAGTGGCCGGTGAGTGTATATTACCACCAATACATATGTGTCACCACCAGTACCAAGGACTCTTCTGTCTCAGTGTAGTCTCTCCAAATTGAAATACATGTTTTGTATTTAAAACACAACAAAAGACAAATACTGTACACCATATAGACCGTAAAGGTACTACATACAACCACTCAATATTTGATACTGTATAAGATGTATCTCCGTCTGTATAACTCCAGCTGAAGAGAGCAGAGCCTCAGGGTCACTGCACTGAGCAATATTCTGGGGAAATACTCCTACAAGTAGCAGCAAGCATTGATTCACTTTGACTAATAACAAAATCTGTCTGCAGTATATACAGTAGATCCTTAGGCAAAGGACTGGAGAGATTCAGCACAGACTGGATGTGTTTTTGGTACAGAATAGTGTTGTTTTTATTGTTTTGATATTCCAGCTTGTATTGTAACCAAGTAACTCCTAAGAATTTGATAGTGTACTGTTTCCAATCAGACTTTAACACATCCTCACAGCTTCATTTGTATTTGTTTTACTACACATTAAACAACTACTCATGTGTTCATATGCTCAGGCCATTTTAACTGTATTTTTCTGTATTTGGAGTAAAATCACAATAAAAGAGAAGAAAGAAAACTGGACTAAATTTGAGATATGTATACAAATAGAGTCTTGTGGAAGTAAAATGTTGTGTACGGACCACAGTTTACCTATTACCAATTGTGCATGTTTTTAGTGGTAGGAATAAAAATAAGGGAAAATGTCCACACAGACACGGGAAGAACATCCAATCAACTTTGATCGATCGAATTGCAAAGATTTCTGTAAGTAAAACTTTGGAAATGTGGAAGTTTTAAGTGAAGTAAAATAGTAACGTGGACATTGCGGTGACCAGCAGGAGACTGGTTCTGATGCCGTCGCTGCTGTTGCAGAAGTCCGTGTCGCAGCAGGTGATGTTCTTGATGTTCTCCTGAATGAACAGAGGAGGGTTCTTACAGATGCTCTTGGTGGCACATCCTTTCCTCATTTTTCCGTTATCTGAAAGTGAATGACGTTGTGAGCGTGTAGACAAGGCAAGCTTATTTGTATAGCACAGTTCATACACAAGGAAACTCAAAGTGCTGAACAAAACAAGATGTAAACAATCACACAAATCATTCAAATCATAAAAATAAAAAAATCAGTACATTAAAAAGAGTAAAGATACAATCCCTCAGTTGTATGCACGTCTAAATACAACTGTTCTTAACCGGGATTTGATGATGGTCAGAATAGAAGCCTGTCTCATATTATCAGGAAGACTGTTCCATAGTTTAGCTGCATAAATCTGAAATGCTGTATAAAATGGTAATTGGGAATATATTATCCGCAAGGCCTTATGCGGGACCTCAATGTATTTCTAGAACAACATTTATAAGTGAAGACATAAACCAACTTTCATCTTGTGGTCAGGCTTTTGGTCCTGTCAGATCTTAGACAGTCTCTAATATTCATATCTGATTGGTCATTATCATGTCTAAACCCCACTGCGGAAACCACATCCTTCTGTGATGATTTTGTTTCAGTGCTTTGGTGTCTGGTTTATGTGGTAAGTTTCCCCTTCAAAAGTGTTTATCATTTTATTTTCCCATTTGAGTAGGTTAGATATAATGAAAATTTCAGAATCAAAAGAATACATTCTTTTGGGTGATGTGGACTGTAGACTGTATACCGATGGACAATGCAATGTTCATATAAGGATTGTGGCTACAATTGTAGACAAAATGGCCGCTCTTCTAAGTGGTTTCGTCTCAAGCCCCGGCTAAAGATTAGTGGAACTCGCCGATATTTGGTCATGCCTCTAGACCTCCCGGTTCTGCGCAGTGGATGAGGTCTCCTGATGCTTAATAACGAGGATGCGTGTGCGGCTCTTATGCACGTGCACAGAGGGGCACAGCCATGTTCTGACCAATCTGCGGCTGCTGATCAGAGCAAAGCTAGAGCGAGAAGAAAACTAGCAGAGTTTGTTGCACTAAAGTGTAGCTTTATAGAAAACCAAAAAAAGGTTCAGGATGATAAGGGACACCAGAATCCGACCTTTATGAAAACTGTAATTTACCTGTCGGCTGAGATCGGTTTTAGTTTACAATGAGTTTTATGGGGAAAATTTCTGGGTAGCTCCAGAAATAGTCTCAAACAGATTTGAGTTTGACATTTCTGCCTTACAGTCTGTAAGCAGAGCTCTGCGTACAGACTCTGGTTGCCTCAGACAGATTTCAGACGTGACTGACCTGTCATAGTGGCGCAGTAGGTTTGCTCGCCGTAACAATCCAGAGACTCCTCGCACGTTTCGCCGCAGCTGTAACATTTCTTCCCATTGGGGTTTTGTCTGTGATGTGCTGCACACAGAAAGAGACACAAGCACTTCAACCAGCACGTTGCACTGACACTCATGACCTTACTTACACACACGTTATTTCAAATACAAATCTCTGTATTTGTGTAAATGGTTTCTTAAAAGCCCATGTGAGCAGGGCCATCCTTGTATGAAAGACACTATAATAAAAAATCTATCCATCTATCTATGTTATTGTGAAGCTCCAGATGTATGGATTCAAGTTGATGATAAATATCTCGTCTCTTCTTGTTGACTTCCACAATGTAATGAAGCTGTCATTTTTCCACACAGATATTTACTAATTGTTGAACAGAGACTGATAAAGTGAGGCAAAAAAGTATTTAGTCAGCCACCAATTGCACAAGTTCTCCCACTTAAAAAAAAAGTGGGATACATTTTTTTATCATAGGTTTACCTCAACTGAGAGAATGAGGGAAAACAATCCAGAACATTAATTACAATTAATTAATTTACAAATCATGGAAGAAAAGAAGTGTTTGGTCAATAACAAAAGTTCTTATCATTAATTTGTTTTTTATTACCCGTTTGTTGGCAAAGACAGAGCTCAAACGTTTTCAGTAAGTCTTGACAAGGTTTTCACACACTGTTGCTGGTATTTTGGCCCATTCCTCCTCCTCTAGAGCACTGATGTTTTGGGGCTGTTGCTGGGACACGTTGACTTTCAACTCTCTCCAAAGATTTTCTATGGGGTTGAGACCTTGAAATGCTGGAGAGGCCTCGAGAGCCAAAACTCTTGCTTGTTTGTAGTTGACCAAATACATATTGTATACTTCTTTGATTTTTTTCTTTCTCATTCTGTCTCTCATAGTTGTGGTATACCTATGATGGAAGTTACAGGCCTCCCTCATCTTTTATGGGAGAACTTGCACAACTGGTGGATGACAAAATATTTATTTTCTCCTACTGTACATTAGGCCATATTTTCCTTAACATTTGTCCATAAACCTTTACTTTGGCATTTCATGTTTTAAAACTTAAAATTGCTTCTGTGTATAGAGAACATAATAAAACAAAACAGGGCCACCAGAACTAAAAATGATGAGAAGAGATGAGTGAAGTTTGCTCAGAAACGTGTAGAAACAGCTGCCATTAAGCCAGGGTTATTTAAGAACACGTCAGGTGAAAGTGGGTGAACGAGAAAGCTGAGCGTGTCTGAGCCTGGGAGAACAATGGGCCTCATTCACGAACGGTTCTTAGGAACAGATTTGTACGTAAATCCTACTTACGCGGTTTTTACGAAGAAAGTGGCATTCACGAATATTTCTCGTAACCAGAATTTCTCTTGGGCAAGTACAAATCCTACGAGTCCTCAGGAGCACTCGTACGCATTCAGTGCCGACATGTTCACACGCCGGGGTTGTCCTCTTTGGTGAAGTTGAATAAAAATACAACATTCCAGTGATATGTCCGTCATATCGATGTATGTATTTATTTATTTGTAGTAATCTTTATTAGTAATCTTTATTTATATACCGCCTTTTTCACTGCAGATCTGGCCTACTTTTTAATTCATTTTGAAATGAAATGTGCCAACGCTTTATCAAATACATTGGAAATCTTGCCGTGTATTAGTGACCCCTTCCTATTTATAGGGGGCATTTCTTTATCCACGGGCCACAGAACAACGGCATATATACTGCTGCTGCAGGAGGTTACTGGGTCCGCGCTGAGTCTCTGCGCTGGTCTCTCCCATGGATCTATACGGGTCTGCACTGGTCTCTCCCATATACTGGTCTGCACTGGTCTCTCCATGGATCTATACTGGTCTGCACTGGTCTCTCCATACGGATCCGCGCTGGTCTCTCAAGTCTGGTCTATGCGGTCTCTCTTCGGTCCGCGCTGGTCTCTGCGCACCGGTCTCTCCAGTCAGGTCACTCCAGTCTATGCGGTCTCTCCTATAGGTCCGCGCCGGTTTCTGTGTGCTGGTCACTCCAGTCTCTCCTCGGGTCTGCATTGGTCTCAGCGCTGGTCCGCGCTGGATCTCCTCCCAGGGTCCAAAATATTTTGAGATTAATCTCAAAACATTTTGAGATTCATCTTTAAAATAATACATAATATATTTTTAAATTAAGCTCATAACATTTTGAGATTAATCTCATCATATTCTTAGATTAATCTCATAATTTTGCTAGTTCGACTTTATTATCATAATATTTCGACTTTTAAGTCAACATTTTATAACTTTATTCTCAGTCTGGTAAAAGAAGAAAAAAGGGTGACTTTTGCTCCGTGTAAAGGGCTCGACACACGGGAGGCGACATCGCATCGCCTCCATTCATTTTCAATGGGACGTGCGCGACATAGCGTCAATCGCTAGCGAGCCTCCTGCTCAGCGACGGGCGAAAAACGTGCGTGTGAAATCCTCCCGCTCGTGCATGTATCGTGCACGCGCGGGTCAGCGACGCGATCCCAGAAAGTTGAAATCGGCTCAACTTTTCGACGCTGTCGTCAAGCCGCATCGCGCCCCGTCTGTCATGTTATCTGAGCGACAGCGTTGAGTTTCGCTGATCGCTCTCATTTGTCGCCTCCCGTGTGTCGAGCCCTTAAAGGCCTGTTGCTGTTTCCTCTGCCGTCTGCACACGGCCCTGCAGTCCCTTATATGGGCATTAGTGGGCGGTTACTTATGCTAAGTACCTATGCTAATGAAGCACCTGGCACGCGCGCTGTACTTACGAGGAAATGGGATTCATCAATCTGAGAGAACAGCTGCGAACAATTCAGCGGCTTACGAGTGCGTTGATGAATCCCACGTGGGGACTTCTTAGAAATCTACTTAAGGACAACTTGAGAAGAAAGTTGAGTAGTTTCTTACGAAGTTATTCGTGAATGAGGCCCATTGTGTACTTGTATTGAGTTATTCATGGAGTTTAAGGCCTTCAACCATAATTTACCGTGTTTTTTCTATCCTTTCAGAAATAAAGCCTTTGTGCCACGATGTGAACCTTCATTTGTCACAAAGAGAGAAATGTTGGTGTTGCAGCGCACATACAGGAAAGTAGTAAGAGCACACAAAGAGCACAACAAACACAGATTTTTTTTTAAATTAGATATAGCTCTGGACTCTGAATGTCTAACTCATTCTGTTGTATAAAAGATCTTTTTATTTAGGGTAATTGTCCTGATTTAAAGTGTGCATCAACCCCAGCCTCAAGTGTTTTTTCTGCTTCATGCACCTTCCTATGAACTTTAACCCACTTTTTTGTTTCTGCTGAGGAAAAGCAGTCCCAAATTATAATTCTGCCCCCTCCATAATGACACGGGTGAAGCAGTGTTAGTTTTTCACCACATAACACTTTGTATTTGGCCCAAAAAAGTTGAATTGTGTCCCATTCAAAACAGGAAATTCTGTTTTCAGATATGTACCAAAGTGAATGGAAGGTAGAAGCAGGCTATAGAAGCAGAGAGTGATATCTGCACAGAAGTGAGTGTGTAGCACTTACGCAGTGTGGGGAGCCCGGTGTTGCACTTGTCCGTGTTGCAGCAGCTGATGATGTATGTGATCTGGCCAAAATCAAAGTCGAACATGACAGTCTGACAGTCCTCGGCCTTAAAGCACCCTCCTATCATGAACGCATATGTTGAGAACGTCTCTGGAACGAAACAACGAATCACAAACAGCCCTCAGACTGTAAACATGCTCAAATAAAGCAAATGTGTCGAACCACTGTCGGCTTTCACTTCATACGTCCCACAGTGAGTGGACTTGGCAGGACACTGGATTTGGTCACTGTCACAAGTGTCTTCCCGGGTCTTACAGTTGTTACACACCAGCGTGGAGCCTGAGATCACACAATCACATGTTTTAACGTGTAAAATAATTTCCTATAACTGGGATATTAAAAAACTAAAAATAATTAAATGATAAATAAATATATTAAATAAATCATCCACACACACACAACACAAAAGCTCAATGAGAAATCAATTACAAACCATATAACAAAAATAATAACATACCTAACAAAAACAGGCATAAAAGGAAAATATAGATAACCTCCTCTGTGAGGTCTACTCCAGCGACTGGGGAAGAGACTCCAGTCTAGTGTTCCTCCGCCGCTGAATACTGGACCAGCTCCCCAGGGAGTCCATTGGACTGGGTTCTCCGGGTAATACAAGGTCCTTTTCTGTGTTTGCACCACCATAAATATGTCAGAGCTGTTCCCAGTGCTGCTAGTTTGGCTTGAGAACACAGGATGTAACTCTCCAGTAGAGCAGTTTGTGTAAGATCTCAGTCGTATGAGCCACTTTCCTTTGTTTTGAAAAATCAAAACAAAGGAAAGTGGCTCATCCATCATCTTCAGTTTTATTTTTGTATTTTGGTTTTATTTTGAAATGAGTTCTCAGTGGTTTTGTTCTAGTTGTAGTTCCTGTCGTGATGGTCTGTTCTGTGTCTATATGTACCCTGTGCTCCTCTCCCTTGTTGCTGGTCCATTGTCTTTGTTTGTTCATGTCTTTGTTCCTGGTACCTTTGGACTTTTTTTTTTTCCCATCATTAAATTATTTTTATTTTGGGTCCTTCATTCACCTCACCCTGTGACAATTTAATCCAAAGAACTTTCATTGGAGATATTGAACCTGTATGTGACAAGGGTGTTTTCACTTTAGAGCCAATCGCCAGCGCCAGATCATTGTACGATTGAGCTTTGCTTGTTTTAGTCTGTGAGCATTTGGCGCTTGCCGCTCCTCATTCAATTGATTTCCGTGTATTCTTGACGTATTTCTCTAAATGATTTATGATGATCATTGCTTGTGTTTATTATCAAATGTTGCCAGAGCTTTTATATATGACCACAGAATTTTTTAGTCAGCATAACAATAATATGGTCTGCTTAAATACTTCAGTAGCTTCAGTAAAGTTACTCTCTGAAGATACAAACAGCTCACAAATGGTCTGTTGTGTTGATAATGGAAAAAATAAACAAAATTTAACTAAGTTGTAAGCTAACCGCTGTCGAGTTAGCCACAGGACGCATCAGTAAAATGGCGTGTGTGGTAGTTAAACTTGACAAGAAAGGGACGCTATCACGCAGTAGCCCTGACTACACAAAACTTTGACTCCTAAAACCCACATAAACCAACATGGAACCGTCAACATCTCTCCTCAAATTGCATTAAAGGGCCGCTTTTTGACTTTTCTCTGGTTTAAACATGATTACAGTGCTGTTAGGCCTTCATACACATGCCCAGAGTAGTTTTTTCATTGAGTCCGTCAAGCTTTAGTTAGAAAGTGATCTTTCTCTTTCATTTTTGAGGCACAGAAATGAGCTGATTCAAATCGTGACATGGCACAATCCGTGACGTCACTGATTGACAGCGGAGAGAAACTGAACCAGCGAATCAGCACCGTCCATGCAGCCTCTCTCCGAGTCCAGCGTGTGGTCCATAGACAGTAAATAAGCCTCTGTGCTTTTTTGTGTTAGCTTCATGTGACTTGGAGAAAATGTGTTTTTGGTATAAATATGTGACGAGAGTATTTGGCCGAAGTCGGAGAATGGGGATCGACTTTGTTCCCGGGGATATCTGCCTCGTATTCGCAAACAAAACTTGAAATTTTTTTTTTTGAGAGTGACAGTGACCTCACCAAAGACTGATCCAGATCTACAGTTACCTTGAAACTAGCCTGGCCTTATCCATCCGTACACTCCGCTCAATCATCATTTGACTGCATGTAGCGTCTGGATCTAGTCCCTGTGTTAGCGATTACGAAATACAACCGGCTACTCAGAGAGCGCGTTGTAGGTCGGTGCCGGTGACGTCAAGTGTTTGCGCCGAACGGGCAGGTTGTTGTTTGGTAATGGCGAAGAATGCGATAGTAAAGTAATCCGGTCTGGTATGAAGGTTATTTTGTGTTTTTATTATCAACACTTTTTTGTGCTTTTGAATTCTATAAACTGTAACAAAAAAGTATTCAGTGTAAATAAATTCAATGTTTTAAAATTCAGTGTCAAATTATTCAATGTTTTCAAATTCAGTGTCCAAAAATTCAATGTTGAAAAAAATTCAGTGTCCAAACATTTTTAGCATTTTTTTTTGCTGCTTGAAATGTCATGCTTTATTTCCGGGTAAATCAAGAACAAAGCAATCGATCAGCCAATCCTCCATAGATGTAGCCAGGGCCAGAACATGGCTGTCTTGTTCATCTGAACATGGCGTCCACAGCAAACCAGTAAGTGTGTTTTCTCATCATTAGTTTGTATGTAACACGCAAACCACTACTGTATGTACTTTCTGAACATGTTTTTACCTTAGCTTATCATTAGCTAGCTCCGCGTAGGTGGATTCTATGTTTTGGCGATTCCCCAAAGCTAATCTTCGCTAATGCTAAGCTAAAATGAACCGCAGGAAAGCCAAGTACATGGGGGTTTGCGGTTCTTGTGTGACATATGTACTATGTTCCCAATTTCAATGTGTATATTATTCTAGCAGTGCAGCAAGGACGAAACCTGCTGTTTTAGAGACAGAGCAGACGATAATTATTCTATCTTTACTCTTACATTTTGACATCTTAGTGAAACCAAGACGGAATGAAGGATCGGTTCTTTAGTGAGAAAACAAACCCATGGATTCAATATTAATGATAGATATGGTTTTAATTGAGTATATTTGTAAATCCCACTCTACCAGCCTCCTGATAAAGACTGGCAATGTATTTACATTTACTGTTGATATGACATGGTTCATGTGTGTGTTTGTAAAGGCATCGTACTTCTGCTCCTCCTCAGAGCGTCTGTTTCTACTCTACTACTGTGTATTTGTATTAATTAATTTGACTGGGACAGTACATGTATATGAACACATATGTCGACATGTCTGATTGTAACAAAAGGCTGATTTTAATCCCAGAAGAACCGATTAATTAATGATTTTTTGTGTGAATTTCTTTTCCAGAGGCAGCTGTCTTTCAGAGGCCATCATTTCTTCATCCATTTCCATCACCTCCAGCTCCTGTGGATTACGATATAAACTACAACGACCAATATGTTCATTTGTTTTATTAATTACAAGTCATGGATAGTTAGAACACATCTCTCATTTTCTGAAGACATATGCAGCAGCAGCAGTAGGAACAACAGCAGGTGCCTGGACGTCTGCCTCTGACTGTCTTTTCTACGGTGGACTCATCACAACCTGGAATAAAATAAAATTATTATGATTCAGTTCTTTGTGTGCAATGAAAAGTGATGTATGCGTTTGTTTTATCCAACCACACAATCCGTGAGAAACATGTTTTATAGCTTTTATTTAAGTACTACTTATAATCTTAAATACATTTAAGCCATTAACTCTGACATAAGTAAGTACTCATGACCTTAAATCTGGTCTGTAAGTTCAAGTCCACGCGTCTTCTGTGTCCAGCTTCATGTTCACAGATGTCCCCCTGTCATCAGTAAATGCACATTTATACTTAAAGCAAATTACTTTACAACAAAGTGATGCACAAACGAGGGCCATAGCAAATTCATCAATCGCACTAAACACATGCATTATTTACATGAAATATCACATTTTTAAGACTAATGATTACTCTTAAAACAATTTTTATAACAGAGAAAGTATGATACAAAAGCCGCCTTTTTGGGTTTTCATAATTACTTCCACAGTTAAGACTGTTAGCATAAGGGAGCTCTCAAAATGACTCCCAGCGCATGACGCTCCATTCTGGGCATCAGCGCAGCTCTACACCCGTGGTTAGCGTGTTAGCACTGGAGCTCAAGGCTGGAGAAAAAGTCCAAAGAAAATCTGTTTAATCACCAAACAGACCTCTGATATAACAATAGAAGGGGCTATTTCCCACCTCCAATGTTAATACAATTAAATGTTATGTCCTAATTATAACGTAAATTCAACATTTACCTTAACCTTGTCATGGCCGCTCCTCTCTCCGCTCCGTGATCCATGCTACTGCGGGACGCTCACGTACAACAGCACGGCCTGATAATACAGTAGTGTGCAGCGTCCGAATCGCCATCAGAATGAGTCCACTCACTCACTCACTCACAATTGTCCCGCACGATATAGTGCGGACATTCAGATAAAGCCAAAGTCATGTTCTGGCCCTGGCTACATCTATGGAGGATTGGCTGATCGATTGCTTCTGTCTTGATTTACCCGTAAATAAAGCATGACATTTCAAGCAGCGAAAAAAAATGCTACGAATTTTTGGACACTGAATTTTTTTCAACATTGAATTTTTTGACACTGAATTTTAAAACATTGAATTTATTTACACTGAATACTTTTTTGTTACAGTTTATAGAATTCAAAAGCAAAAAAAAGTGTTGATAATAAAAATACAAAATAACCTTCATACCCATCCCACCTGTTCACGGAGCTCAATGGAGCAAATCCAGACCTATGAAATGAAATTTACAACCAGGCTACCTTGAAACGGGACCTACTCAAAAGCTGACCTGGAAACATGGTGTTAATCCAACATAAAAGACGCTAACAGGAATCTCGGGCTTTAAGTAATATGCTACTAACTCGCCGTGTGTCACTGTCTGTGAACTAAATAATTAGGGTCCGATTCTGGATTGAGGACATCTGGCTCGATGTGATGGGTTGCCATTGTTGGAAAAAGTGAGTAAGTAAGTAATGTTTATTTATATAGCGCATTTTACAGACCAAAGTCACCCAAAGCACTTTACAATGTTCAGAGTTCAGATATTGCTCCAATCATTCCACACACGATGATGACGGAAGCGAGTCGCCGAACACACTGGCACATCAGCCCCCAACACCATCCACTCACTCTCTCATTGACATTCATACCTATTGTGCATGTTTTTAGTGGTAGGGGAAACCGGAGCACCCGGAGGAATCCTACGCAGACACGGGGAGAACATGCAAGAAAAGCGAAATATGGCACCTTTAAAACTGAAGCCGGCAAGAAATAAATACATATATATTAAGATACATAGATAATAGATAGATATAGACACTTTATTGATCTGCTTAGGGGAAATTCTAATTTCAAGGAGCAGAAGCACATCCATCCATACAAACACATGAATAATTCTAAAAGTTAGTAACAATAGTAATAAAGTAATAGATCAGTATTTTGTAACCTCACAAGTCTTCATCCCGTCTCTGAGAATGATCTGTGAACATTCTTGTTTGCATCGATGCGGTGGACTTACCTTGGTGAAGGAGGACAAAGCCAGTGAGGAGGAGCAGGAGATACATGCTGCTGCTGCGGAGGTCCACTGTGTCTGCTGCTGTCTCACTCCTGCTGCTGACGTCCACACCCATACCCCTCCCTCCAACACACCTTCAACCTATTATGATTAGGGGAATGACTTAAAACAAAAAGAAACTGATAATGTGTCAATTTTGTAATCATCATAATTGGAGTTTAGTGTCATGCTCGGTGGAATTTGGGTTTGATGAACCAGTGCAGACACGTCAAACCCAGAAGAGACAAAAACACATTGAATTAACTAGTACTACTTTAATCATATCAAAGCTGGGGTACCTCCCTTTCAACCTGCAAACAGTCGATGTCATTAGTCCTTGGCTCTAAAACAGAAGTGTGTATATATATATATTGGATTTATAAATGTATGTGTTGTATGTGTTTAATTTAAGGCAAGTTCAACTCCAAGTGCTGAAAAAACAAGACAAAAACAATCAGACGAAGCATCACAGTATATTCAAAGATACAACAATTCTTCAGTTGTATGCACAGAGAAACAAAGTAGAAGCCTGTCTCACATTTCCAGGAAGAGTATTCCAGATTTTAGCTGCATAAATCAGAGTCTGAGTCAGTTCTTATGGTACTAACATGTCACAGATGTACTTTGGTGCGAGGCCATGGATAGACTTGTCTGAGCCACAAACCTGAGAAACCCCAGTTACCTAATGTAACTAAGGTTCTATGAATATGTTGCGAAGCCCTTTAGGCTTCGCTAATGCATATCTCTCGGAAGCATCGCTTCCCGCCCTGAGAAGATCAAACGATCCACCCTCCAATCACCTTCACGTCCTGGCGTAGGTCTGTCCCCTATAAAAAGGGTCATGCACCACAGCTCTTCTCCTTTCGAACTCAGCCGAATAAGAGAGGGCAGGCCTGCTGGGCTCGAAGCTAAAGGGCTTTGCAACATATTCATAGAACCTTAGTTACATTAGGTAACTGGGGTTTCTATTTCATATGTTGCTTCGCCCTTTAGGCTTCGCTAATGCAACACATAGCGAAGCCCAGACCAATGTACTCCCAGCAGGCATGAACTCTGGTGATTGGAGAAAACTCGTGACCCTCCTGCTCATACCGCAACCAAGCGGTAGAAACGGAGGTCCTACGAGCCATAGAGAAAGGGATGCAGGGCTACCTCTCCCAAGAGTGCCCACGCATTCCCCAACCTGCAAAGCAGGAAAGAATTCAGAACAAACCTGGGCAGGCAGCCTCTCCCAAGAGCACCTGAACCCCAGGAATGTAGAGCAGACTGCAGAAGGGTCTAGGCCGCCTCTCCCAAGAGCGCCTACCCCTACTGCAGAGGTGTCCAGGCCGCCTCTCCCAAGAGCGCCAACACCTCTCCACATAACCCTAGACGAAGGAGGAACTAGGGCCGCCCTGCACTCAAAACCGAATGAGCCACAGAGTCAGAGGCCACATCTAGTAGGTAAAACTGCACAAAGGTCAAGGGGGAGGACCAAGACGCCGCTCTGCAGATCTCCTCCACCGAAGTGCCACGGAACAAAGCCACCGAAGCGGCAACCCCGCGAGTGGAGTGAGCCCTCAACTGGGCCGGAGGCGGCAAGCCCTGAGCTTCATACGCCAAACGAATAGCAAGGCAAAGCCAGTGGGCCAAGCGCTGTGGAGACAAAGCAGCACCCTGACTCCTGGTGCCAAACCCGACAAACAACTGATTCGACCGTCTGAGGTCAGACGTGCGGTCCAAATAGCATCTCACAGCCCTGATCGGGCAGAGACTATGACGCCGCTCTTCCTCCTCCGAAGCATGCGGAGGAGGGAAAAACGGTCTCACCCTGATCACCCTAGATCTGAAAGATGACGTGACGACCTTGGGCTGGAATGCCGGGTTAGGCCACAACTCCATCATGCCCTCCCGATCGGGGAGGGACAAACAAGACGGATGCATGGAAAGGGCGCACAGATCCCCAGACCTCTTGGCCGAAGCCAACGCCAACAACAATGCCGTTTTGTAGGACAAACAGGCAATGGTCGCATTGTCCAGGGGTTCAAATGGAGGCCCCGACAGACCAGCTAAGACCACCTGAAGGTCCCAAGACGGAGCCGACCGCCGGAGGGGAGGTCTGATCCTGCGGGCCCCTCGGAGAAAGCGCTTCACCAAGGGGTGGCTACGCGCAGAGTGGCTACCAAACCCCACGTGCCCTGTGGTAATGGCCGCCGCGAACACACCCAGAGTGGCGGCCGCCCTTCCCTTCTCCAGCAAAAACTGGAGAAAAGCCAAGACCTCCTGGATGGAACACGAGGTGGGGTCCAGGCCTCTGTCCACGCACCAAGAGGCGAAGAGTTTCCAGCGAACCTCATACGCTTTGGTGGTGGATGTAGCCCTCCCACCCTGAATAGTAGCGACCACTGAGGGAGGGAGACCAAGGCTCAACAGTTTCCCCCTTTCAGCCTCCAGACCATGAGCCTGTGTCCCAGGACAGGGCGTGAGTAAAGGGCTCCCCCTGCCTGTCTCAGAGCATCGGGACGGTCCGGAATGGGCCAAGGCGGACCGAGCGCCATGCTCACCAGGTCCGGATACCACCTGGCTCCCGGGCTGTCCGGCGCCACCACCAGGATGGAGACCCCCTCCCTCCTTACCCTGTAAAGCAGGGCTGCCAAGAGCCGGAGAGGCGGGAAGGCGTAGAGGAGACCGTTGGGCCACGACCTGTGCGCCATGGCGTCCACCCCGAGAGGGGGCTCGTCGCTGGACCTGAGCGAGAACCAGAGTGGGCACTGTGCGTTCTCTGCATTTGCGAAAAGGTCGGCCACCGGTGTTCCGAACCGGAGCCAGACCTCCGCCACGATCGCTGGGGCGAGACCCCACTCGTCCCGCAAGGCCCCGCCCCTGGACATCCTGTCGGCGGCCACGTTGCGCTCGCCTGGGATGTGACGGGCCCTCAGAGAGGCTAGGTGAACGTCCGCCCACAGAAGAACCTCCACTGCCAGCCTGTGAAGGGCGGGGGACCTGGTCCCCCCCCTGCCTGTTCAGGTAAGCTGCCACAGTGGTGTTGTCCGTCCGAACAATCACATGTTGGCCCTCCAGTCTGGTCACAAAATGGGCCAGCACTAACCGCACCGCCTCCAACTCCAGGAGGTTGATGTGCCCCAAGGGGGAGGACCAAACGCCTCCTGCCGAGTGGTGGCCGAGCACGCCTCCCCAACCGCTCAGTGAGGCGTCCGTGAAGACCTCGATGTGGTGGTCCACCAGACCCATTCGAACTCCCTCCTGGAGTCGACCTGGGGACAGCCAGAAGGCGACGTCGTTCCGAGCCCTCTCCGACAGTCGCTCCCTCCGTGATAAACCCCTGAGATGTGAGAACCACCTCTGGAGATATCGCATGTGCAGCAACCCCAGTCTCACCACTGGATGGGCTGCTGCCATCATGCCCAAGAGTGACCGGATCTGCCGCGGTTGGACCCGAGGTTCGCCCAGAACGACCCGGCCCAGGTTTTGAACCGCCGCTTGTCTCTCCGGCGAGAGTGAAGCCGTCATGCTCCTGGAATTCAAGACCAGCCCCAGATACGAAATCTCCTGGGCCGGGCACAGGGAGCTTTTGTCCATATTGATCACAAACCCTAGCCGGGCAACGTGGTTCATCACTCTGGACGTGTGATCCTGCGCCTCCTCCCGAGAGGAGGCCAGGATCAGCCAGTCGTCGATATACGTCAGTATCCTGAGGCCCTGACGCCGAAGGGGTTCTAGCGCCGCCTCCACACACTTGGAGAAGGTGCGGGGGGCTAGGGAGTAGCCGAACGGGAGTCGGCAATACTCGAAGCACCCCCCCCCCCCACAGAAAACCGGAGGAACTTCCTGTGCCCCAGAGCAATGGGTATGTGGAAATACGCGTCTCTGAGGTCCACGGAGGACATCCAGTCCCCGGGCCTGATGCTCAGCAGCAGCTGTTTGACTGTGAGCATGCGAAACGGTCGCTTGGCTATGCAGCCGTTGAGGACGCGCAGGTCCAGAATGGCCCGCACCCCCCCGCTCTTTTTGGGAACAATGAAGTATGGAGAGTAAAACCCTGTCCCTGCCTTGAGCGGGTCTACCTCCGCTACCGCGCCGCGCTGCAGAAGCGCGTCGACCTCCCTGTGAAGCGCCACGGCGTCCCCGGGCTGCATAGCCTTGTCTGGAGAATGCCGCAGAAAGGAGGGGGCCGCCGGGAGAACTGGAGAGCATAGCCCCGATGCAGCACTCTGCGTATCCACGGTGTTCCCAGGAGCCCTGCCTGTTCCCATACGGTGACAAAATGAGTCAAGGGAAGCACGGCGGGATGGGAGGAGGGAGTAAGGCCCGGCCCGCCCACAGACGTCCCTCCTGGGGAGGCATCGGATAGTGGGGGGCCCCTGGGAAAAGGGCTGAGCCCTAGCTGCGGCCCTGGGCCTTTTCCCGGGCGGCAGAGTGAGGGCAGACGCGCTGCGCTTTCGTGGAGCAGAGCCCCCGCACCCCAACACTGCGGACTGAGGGGGGGCCGGGCAGGCCCACTTATCGCTCTGGACCGTGTGGGGCCCCTGAGAAGAGGGCCGAGCCCTGGCTGCGGCCCTGGGTCCTTTACCGGGTGGCAGCGTAAGGGCAAGCGAGCTGCGCTTACGTGGAGCCGAGCCCCCTTTCCCCAGCACTGAGGACTGAGGGGGGGCCGAGCAGTCCCCCTTAATGCTCTGGATAGTGGGGGGCCCCTGGGAGGAGGGTTGAGCACTAGCTGCGGCCCTGGACCTTTTTCCGGGTGGCAGCAAGAGGGCAGGCGTGCTTTGCTTCCGCGGAGCCGGGCCCCCGCCCCCCAACACTGGAGACTGAGGGGGGGCCGAGCAGTCCCCCTTGTTCTTCTGGATAGCTGCGGCCCTGTGCCTCTCACACGGAGCGCTGTGAGCTGGTGCTGCTGGCGCACAAGGAGCGTAGGAGGGGAGCGCACGGTCACGCACTCCCTGCCCGCGGGAGGCGAAACCACGGGGAGTGCACTGCGAACCTGGAGCCTGCCTTCAACGTGCCACCTCGCAGCGCGTTGAGAGAGGCTCCAGACGCCCTGTAGAGGAGCAGCGTTGGCCAATTGCTGAGTGAGAGGAA